TATACTACATAATGTTAAAAGGATTCAAATATTTTATCTTTTTGGAATTCACGTAAATCTACCGATACCACAAAGATTTTTAACAAACAAACCAACCGTTCTCAAATAGTTTTTAATGTTATCTATTCTAATTTCCGCAACTAAAATAGTTACCTATTTGTAACAATTTAAATGCTAGTTGTATGGCGCCACAAATTTATCATTTTGTTGGGAACTAATGTCATACGAGCGACAAAAAATGAATTTGGAATGCCAAGATTGCTAAAGAAATTTCGCGTTGAAATAATGAGTTTTCATTGTTGCCTTTACCTTTATTCCGATGTGGGATCGGCTTGTACTCGTATCATTGCTGTCTTGTTGTTCCAAATTTGCTCTGCAAAGCTATTCACGACGCTTTTAGAACATACTTGTAAGAAGGCACATCTGAACGAACATGGTATCAACATAAATGTAGAGAAGCTCGGTCATTTGAGATTTGCAGATGAAACTGTTTGCCAATGCCTCAAGGAAGGTAATTTGGTAAATCGTACACCGGTCAAAGGGCCAGTTTTGACTGTAGTTCATCGTAGAGGGCGTTTAGAATTTGCATGATATCATGTCCATTGGTTGGAGGCTGATTGGAACGACATTATCCGGGGGCTCGGTACGTCTGGAAGCGTTTCTTCGTTGGGAATTATTGGCTTCGGAGTTAATGTCAATGTCCATCTTATCAGTCTCTTTATTATTTGGTGCTTTACTGATTGTCTTTGTTCTCCTGTAGATGCTAAATTTGGAGTAGCTTTTTAGTGGTAAAAATCCTACTTGGCCAAAGTTGTAGTGACCATACAGCAACATTTCTTTAAAGCCTTTGTAGATGTACGGTCTACTGAAAGGGTCAGTTCTATCGTGTTTTTCATCTGTGGTTATCATGTTGTAATTTTATTATATTTAAAATATTTCTATTTTTATTTTTTTTTATGGTTTGACATCTACAGTCGACACTGTTTTGTAATGCTTTTTATTAACTCATAAGACAATTAGAAAAAAATACGTTGAAACAACTTCAAATATAGACGCCACAACTCAACTTTTCTTGGTCTGGAATTCACTTTTGTGCGACTAAACAAAAGCCAGGAAAATGAAATTTCAGGACTGTTATTGCAATAAATTACGATACTAACTTAATACACCACGACTGTGGCAAATAGAAAGGTTTGTAAAATTATCGACCGGAACATCAAGAAGTGCCTTCTTGAAATGAGCAAAAATACATTCAATTATAAACAGATCCTCTCACTGACACCGTATAAGTCATTAAAACAAAGAATAAAGTATAAAGTGACCTTTTTCTGGCCTTACAAGGCCTGTTGTGTACTGTAAATAAATAAATGAACATTATTATTGATTTCGAAGGGTGCTGCAATTTTCGTCGCCTAAAGTTTTAATTTCGACCGGTGCTCCATCAATTTCCACCGCCATTATTCTCAATTTTCGACTGGTAACCTGCCAAATTACCGCCAATAATCTTTTTTTTTTGTCTAGTAACCTACCAAATTCTCATTTGAGTTTAGTCTACTCTAATTCAGTTACCATGGTAGCCATTATGGACGTTCTTTTAGTTTTTACCAATGCTTCACGAATGTCTACCGCCAATAATTCACAGAGTAAACATACTAGGTAATCGAAATGATTCATCTATTCTAGTTTGTGTTGATATTTTTACATTGTAGTTCTTAGACACCAGAATATAACCCACATTCATAATTTAGGATCATCGGGCAAAAAGAATTGTTGTCAAAAAGGAATGTTTTTATTTGTTTATTGCTGTTAAAAAATATATTTAAAATTGTGTTTGCGTTTTATTTGTTTCTACGGCTTTTTTGTGCTGCAAATAAAAACTAGATTGTAATGTATAGATAATTAAATAATTCACGGCGTTTCAATAGATTTTGTGATATGACGTGATTACATGAACTATTTATTCGTTGCGATTCAATTTATTTTCTGACCTTTGGCTCATTATAATTCTGAAATTAAGGTCAAAGAAAAATCGTCGAGTTGTTATTCGTTTTTCTTCACATGGAACAATAATATCAATTACAACATTCTAAATGTGAACCAAGAAAAGGGATTGCAGAAAATATATTTTTCTGTTGTAAATTAAATACAAATCAAAAGTGTTTACTTAAAATTGGTTTATACTCTTTTGATTTCAAGCAACATATTACTTATTTTACTTTCCCAGTAGCCAGAAAAATACTTTCTCAGCTGGCATGTGTTATTTAAAGATTCTTTTTCCCTCCTTTTGTTTGAATAACCTTTCCTATCAAGAGAGAAGATTGAATATTACAGGCTATGTCATTCATATTTACATCTGTTATAAACGTTTCCTTGTGTTTCTCATACAGGACATTTTTCCGCGACTCTAAATTTGTTTCGTCCTTCCATATTTTCTTGCATTATATTTTGTAGAAATGTATAATTTTGTCTTCTCATTAGATTGGCCCTCAAATATTCAAATTTTCTCTTATTTATATTTAGTAGTACTTCGGGTTTTTTATTCGTTATCCGTAGTACTTCTTTATGTGTGATTCATCACGTGCTCAGATTGTTAGTTTTTTACCCAACATATGGGTAGTAGGTATGAAGATCTACTGAACAACCACAGCTTAAGCTTACCACAAAAGTCCTAACCAACAAGAATCAAATAAACTAACAACTTTATGCAAATAAAAAACACAGGATTACAGATCTCGGAAGATCCTGAGTCAGGACGCCGTATTTGTAACTAAGACAATCACAGAAAAGGTATTCGAGTACAATAAACCAGCTTATCTTTGTTTTATAGACCTCTTATCTTTTATGTCTTGTCGTGACGTCTTACACCTATGTATAAAACATACCAATAATTTTTTACAAACATTAAAAACATTACTTCCAGATCGAATTCAGGCAAAGATAAATAGAAAACTAACACACGTATTCAGTACAAAGCGGAGCCTGAAGGGTGCTATTGAAACGAGACATACTAGAAATAAGAGTGAAAAACTTTTATCTGTTCTACGGCGTTTTCAGGGAAAGTCTGTTTGTGTAGGGAGAGAAGCGAAAACATGCAATAATTAGAAGAGGCATGCAATATATAAGACCTAAATGGATGGGCGACAACAGGAAACAGGTGGACGAAACACATTAGTATAAATGGCAGAGGATGATAGTACGAATAGCACTATAAAGTCACCAATTGGACAGAAAGTATTGTCAGACCAAGAACACGATGGCGAGATATTTATACAATTTAGGGGCTAATATTGAAGAAGAAAAAAGGCTTTAAAGCCTACATTAAAGAAGGATAGAGAAGAAGAAAAGACAATTTGTTTTCATTATTCAATGATAGCATCATATTTCGAAACTCACATACACGCACAGCGAGTTTCTACAATCCAAGCCGTTCTCGCCTCCCTTGCGCAAAAAAATGTTTGGCTGATTAAACGTTTCTACATATTTTTGAGAAATAGTACAAATATAATGGTAGATCTTGAAAAGTTTTTTTTTTTGCGAATATCCTAAATTTAAATTTTTTTATAATTGACCGAGATAATTGTAAAATAACTCTTACTTTTGCTTATTGCTGTGATGGTACTCGTAAATTACCGTGACTTTAAAATGCGTGGGCGAGCTCCGTTGTTTTTAGATAGAACTTAAAATTGACGCGTCGCTGTATAAATTTGTATTATCTCTCTATGTCAGGCAAACTATTCCTTTTTTTGAAGTTATACTTCTTACGCAGGGCGGTCGTGGAAAGTTGCTTGAGAGTGATCTGGAAAACATTAAATATGTACGGTTCTATGAGTTAGATAGAGAGCAGAAGATTTATTTTCTCTCTCTTCCTCTCTTCGAGAATAACAATGTTCCTTTTGTATATATATTTTTATTATTATATATAATATATATATATTATTATTTATATTTATATATATATATATATATTTATTTATATTAATATTTATATAATATTTTAAGTTTTTATTATTTATTAAAGTTTATATTTATTTTAGGCTTTTGTATTTCAAAATAATCACTGTTTGACCGAGAACTGTCAATTTTGAAATCCGTTAGTGATCATGTCTATGTGGCAAATCCTTTACGTGTTTGGTTCATACGCTGGTGGTTTGTGAGTTCAAATCCCAATTATGAATTTCCTTTTTTATTTTTGAAATATTAAAAACCCTCACGTTAATCTTATTAAATATATGTAATATACGCAAAAATGCTAAATTTTAAAATAAAATGAAAATTTATAACATAATCCGAGTTGTTGGTTTTTTATTTTTATCTTCGTAAAGTAAGTTATGTATATTGGCAGTTTTAAATACTTATGAATATTACATTTTAATTTATATTGTATTATTATATTGAATTATTGATTGCAGTGTATTTATTGTATTGTAATTTTTATATTAATAACAAAATAAACAATGAATTTTACTGCAGGTATGTGTAAAAATTTTTTTGCATTTAACTCATTTTATACATATTATGAAAATAAAAATATATATTTTATTAAAAATATTGATACAATCCTTCATTTACTATACTCCTATTACAGGTCAAATGTTTTTATACAGCACATACGATGCTCCATATATACCGACTATAACACTATACTTAATTCTTTTCTCTTCTCTCTGCTCTCTCTTTAACCTATAGCATTAACATATTTAAATGATTGCGGCAGACTGACTTCCCATATACATTGTTATGAATTTATGAAATTTATATATGTATTAGACTTGCTACCGGGACACAGTCCCACTGCGAACTCGGCCTACAATCCCCGTTTTTTTTAACTTGGGAATAGCTCGAGAACAATTTTTTACTTTCACTTCCGGGAAAAACCAAAAAACCCGGAAAAATAAATTAATTGTTTCCAAAAAAAAGTTATTGAAAATTTATATTCTAAATATATATAATTTTCACTGTCCTATATTATTATCTGTTTTAACTTGGATTAATCTTTGCAGGTGTTCCAATCGTACCTGGAACTGATGGACCAGTCACGACCGCAGAAGAGGCGAAAGAATTTTGTAACAAACACGGTCTTCCCGTAATTTTTAAGGCTGCATACGGAGGAGGAGGTAGAGGAATGAGAGTTGTGAGAAATATGTCAGAAGTCGAAGAAAGCTTTAAAAGAGCTTCATCAGAAGCTAAGAGTGCGTTTGGAAATGGAGCTATGTTTATCGAAAAGTTCATCGAAAGGCCCAGACATATTGAAGTTCAACTTTTAGGTAATTTTTTATCTATAATCGACAGAATATCCACAAGGAAAATGAAATTTCCTTAATTGGCTGTATACCATAAATCATAAAAGTTTTATTAAAAAAATCCCTTATTAAAGGTATATAATTGTCATCGTTGTCATCTAGAGCCCATATAGGAACACTGTCTCAGGGCCAGTGACAACCCCCATTGGGACTCTTACGTTGCCACGCAGGTTATATGTTAAAAACTTTAACACTACAATATCTTAGACTCTGTAAGATACATTTTTAACCAAATATTTACTGGCTTGATTAATGTAGACCTGGTAGTACACTGATGACGGACTTTTCCGTGATGTCTTTTTAATTATATACCTTTTATAAAGGATTTTTTTAATAAAACTTTTCGACAGAATATATTTCACCCGACAACTTCCTCCTTATTTATTAATATCAATTGTTCTCTTATTCAATTTTGTACATTGTAGGTGACAAAGCTGGAAACGTTGTACATCTGTTCGAACGTGACTGCTCGGTACAAAGAAGACATCAAAAAGTCGTTGAAATGGCGCCCGCTCCTCATCTGAGCGCGGGAGTGCGTGACAAAATGACTGAATTGGCCGTAAAATTGGCCCGCCACGTCGGTTACGAAAACGCCGGTACCGTTGAGTTCTTATGCGATGAAAAGGGCAATTTCTATTTCATTGAAGTCAATGCTCGATTGCAAGTGGAGCATACTGTTACTGAGGAAATTACTGGAATTGATTTGGTACAGTCGCAGATTAGGATTGCTGAAGGAATGACCTTGCCTGAGTTGGGTATCAAGCAAGAAAATATTAAACCTGATGTAAGTATAAGTATTGACCATTTATGGACCTTTAATATAATTATTTCAATTGTGGCAGTGCAATATTATTAACCCACAGTCAAGTCGAAGGAACATCTTTTTGAAACTTCCATTTTATCGGTGCAACATATTTCATTATCATAAAAAATTCAATTTTAGTTAAATGTCTTTTTAAAGCTTTATTACCTTATAAATCAGACCTGTTTATATACTATATTCCAAGAAATATTATTGGAAAATGGTTTTCCAACTATCGGTGGTAAAACGTTTTATTGCTTTCGAATTTACAAAACTAGAAAGCCATAAAAAGGTCGTAACCCTTCTCCCCTCGTCCGAAAATTACTATAAAAGCTCGTTTACCAGCCAGAAACGACACAATTATATACAGTGACCGGTAAAAAAAGTGGCCACCTTATAAATTTCCGAAAATAAAGATTCATTGGAAGTTTTATGTACCGTTTCATATTGTAATTGTAATTTCATATCGTATTGTAATTTTTAAAATAAAAAATGGCCATCACTGCTTGATTCCATAGCATAATTTATTTAATTAGAAGGCTACAAAAGAAAATTATTTAATATCAAAACGAATTAAAAACCATAAAAATTACGAGTGAACTTGGACAAAATTGTCTAATATCGGGTGTTATGCCCTAAAACATCAATAACCGTTTGAATACGATTTGGAAGGGAAAGGAATAAATTTTCAATAAAAACGTGAGAAATATGTTCATATTATTTACGAAGCATTTTTTAAAGTTCTGTAAGACTTTCTGGCTGGCTTGGTTGACTTCTAACCCTATGATAAAGTTTATCCCAAAGATATTCGATGATATTCAGATCAGGATTGCAGGATGGCCATTCTAGAATATTAATTCCTCCTTTCCCCAAGTAATTTGCCACGACTCGTGCAGGATTCGGCTGTGCATTATCATACATAAAGACAATGTTGTCCCCAATAAATATAGACCAAATGAAACTACTGCTTCTGCAAAACATCCTCTATATACCGGTCAGCATTCAGGGGCCACTGATGAAAATAAGTTCAGTTCGAGCTAAAAATATGATTTCAGCTCAAGCCATGACACCCCCACCGCCAAACTTTCTTCGCTGGACATATCTTTCACTTCTTTGTCTCCAAACCCTCTCTCGGCCATCGCCAGACTTCAAATAGAACCGCAATTCATCAGTAAAGAGAATTCGGCTCCAATTCTGTATTTTCCAGTGTTGATGTTCTCGAGCAAAAATTAATAGATCCCTACAGTATCTGGGTTGTAATTCGGAAACAATAGCCAGATTTCTTGCCATTAGTCCTCTTTCATTGTGGCATCTTCTAATAGTTTTCTCACTTACATTTTGAACCTCCTGCAGACAGTTTCTTGCAGCAATTGGAGTGGAATGGCGGTTTCTTTAAAGTTCCATCACAATAAAACGATCATCTCTTTGCGAGGTAATTCTTCTACGACCGGAACCAGGTCACGTGCGTATGTACCAGTCTCTATAAAGCAATAGAAAGCTGTCAGTAAACTTGACTTCTTCCGTCTTGTAGAAATGTAATAATTCGAAAATCTGCTGTAGATATCACCATATCTTAATTATTTTCTTAGTCGAAATCCACGTTTAAAAAGCTAAATTACTGTTTAATTAAACGTTTTCAACAAAATAACAACGTAAACATCAATATTGTCAAAAACATCTTACATAAAAGTAGCAGTGCATAAAACTTCCAATGAATTTTTATTTTCGGAAATTTATAGGATGGCCACTTTTTTTACTCTTCGAACAGGCATCGAACAGGTCTCGAACAGCTTTGGACAGCCGCGTCTCCACCACAAAATGAGCCAAAAATGAGCAGAATGGATCTTAGAATTTCTTCTGGAGATTTACATGGGAAAATGACCTGTTTTGTGCTCGTAGCCGTGCCGCCCTTTTACTAATATGCCATTATGAGAATTATTTCGAATAACATTTGAATATGCTAAAATATTTATTGCAAATGATAAAGCTTTATACATAAGGGTGTCAGCATTTCACAATTTTTCAGCTAAAACTAATATCTCTTGTTCAGTGCCACAATATGGCCCTCATATATTTTAAATTGAACATTGTAAGTCAGAAAATAAGACAGACTATTTATTTAGGGTTTTGCCATTCAATGTCGTGTCACGACGGAAGATCCAGCCAAAAACTTCCAACCCGACACCGGCAGAATCGAGGTATTCCGTTCCGGAGAAGGTATGGGCATCCGTCTCGACGGAGCATCTGCCTTTGCGGGAGCTATTATTTCGCCATACTACGACTCGTTGTTGGTGAAAGTCATAGCTCACTCGAAAGACTTAGCCAGTTCCTGTGCCAAAATGAACAGAGCTCTTAGAGAATTCCGTGTCAGAGGAGTCAAAACGAACATTCCATTTTTGTTGAACGTACTCGAAAACCAGAAGTTCCTAAACGGTTCAGTCGATACCTATTTCATCGACGAAAATCCTCAATTGTTCAAGTTCGCCCCTACAAAGAATCGTGCCCAAAAACTACTGAACTATCTAGGAGAAGTCTTAGTAAATGGTCCTCAGACGCCTTTGGGGACGACTTTAAAACCTGCCGAAATTAAACCACACGTGCCTGTTGTGTCGCAAGGTAAGTTACTGAAAACAGACCTAACTATTTCGATTTTTGTAAATAATTTGCTTAAAGCTTATGCGGAGCTACTTGTGGAGCGAAGAAACGTTTTTAACTCTTCAATATAGGTAAGAACAGAATCTTAGAACATTTACATACAGTAAAGCTTCAAAAGAAAATAAATAGTGTGTCAAATTGATGATATGTGACGTGGAAAATGACAGTAAGGTATAGACTATACTATAAAGGATGTAGTTGAATTATCTACGACTTTATGGACGACTTCGGTGCATAAAAAAAGAACAATGGCAGAAAGCCTAAACAGATTTTGATTCTAAGAAAAACAACTATTCTTCAAAACAAAATAGATCTGAGACAAAAATATTGTTATTAAAAAAAAGGGACTAATCGACAACTACTTGTTTGAATCTTACTCCAGATTCAAATACGTTCCAAGAAAGTGTCAACTAGACGTGGAAAATACTTCTAAACTATAGTGATGCTGTTGTTCTACAAAGAATTTCTTTTACAAGCTTCTTTTTGTTTACAAAAAAGAAGCTATTTTGTTATGTACCAATGAGTAAAATCACTATGTTATTGGCAGTAGGAACAAGTATTTCTTTATCTATAGAAAGATTCTACATATAAGAAACATATAGATTGGAGAATCAAAGTATAAGAGGGAGGAAACTATAGCAACTTGTCTAGAAAAGCGTTCAGCCAACAGTATAGGCTTAATATCGGACTATAAAACTAATTCTCTAAGACTCCCTAACATTTTTAAAGAAATAATCATAAGAAATATGAAGAAAACCACAGCGTTAACGACAATAAATGGTGAAAAAAAGAATGGAATCAATTATACACATTCATCCACAATAAATATAGCAATATGTTCCTACTGAGGAACACCTATCTTTGGACATCTGCGTCAAGCAAAAAGATAGTTTACGTGGATTATGTGGTTGTAGATGCACCATGAAGTTTTGTAGATATTTTCTGTAATAGTATTATCTTTTGTTTTGCTCCGCAATTTTTTCTTTTGTATTTTATGTATATTAAAACTAGTTTCCCTCATGTTAGATAAAATGTTTTATGTTTTTAATTTAAACTAATTTTTAGAAATATGATATCTAAAAGAAACGTAGAAATCTTGTTAAATTTTTATAAAATACAGCTCCAAAGAAATGGAATTTAATAGAAAAAACTAGTGAAATTGATATTGTTACAAAAAAAAATTTACAAATTGAAATAATAATAATAGATATAGCAACAAAAACGTCTTTAGACTTTCGTTGTGTAATCACAAATTTTGCGCATTCAGAATTCTATACATTAATTTTCTTATTTTAGGTTAACGTACATAGTTAGGTTATGTGAAGTTAGGTTAACCAATACCCGTATAGAGTCATCAATTTGTTTCCAAGAGTAACAATTCACTTCAATATATTAAAGAATACAAAAAAAAATTAAAAAAAAAATTAAAATGAAAATAAACAGTTAAGGTCAATTCAGACACATCAGTCACGTCTCGTCACAGTGATTGCGCCGAACCGAACAATCCGTCATACAAAATATTCTTTAATACAAATATCAAAGAATATAGACGCAAAGAATATAGACGCAAATATGTTGCCGGCATTCACACTCATCAGTTGACAAACAGTTTCCCAGCTGTCAGATAGTTGATAGCTCTGTGACCAAACAGGACCGGTTCGGCGCCGAGACTATGACGGGACTGATGTGTCTGAATTGACCTTAAAGGTCGATTCAGACACATCAGTCACGTCTCGTCACAGTGATTGCGCCGAACCGAACAATCCGTCATACAAAATATTCTTTAATACAAATGTGTTGCCGGCATTCACACTCATCACTTGACAAACAGTTTCCCAGCTGTCAGAAAGTTCTGTGACCAAACAGGACCGGTTCGGCGCCGAGACTATGACGGGATTGATGTGTCTGAATCGACCTTTAGGGTCTACTCACACTATCACTGCCGCTCGACTCCATACCGTTCCGATATAATCTCTGGTGTTTACACTTAACGCTCAGGTATATTACAAATAACTTTTTAGTTGATCACGTTCGTCACAGGTGAAGAATGCTTTTTAGATCCTAATATGTGGCTAATCGGATTCACTATACTCATTCCGGGCGCCATGTTATTTTATGACGTATACATTGGGAGGTAAGGTAATCATATTTACTTACACTTACACTTTAAAAAAGAAGTTTATTGCTGCCTGCTTTACTGCCAAAGTTAGCTTCTGACTTCTGGAAAAATATGCAGAAAGTTTAGAATTTTTCATTTAAAAAATTTACCAAATGCTATCAATCGGAGAAACGCATACGCAAGAGGTAAAATGACCAAAAGGAATTGCCAACATGATTTCAGGCAAATTAATGATAATTTATTAACATTCATTAAAATAATTGTAATTATTTCGATGCCAGTACGATATTCGAGTACATAGTGATAGTGTGAATATATCCTAAAGTTGATTGATTTGGTATTATGTAAGTTATGGACAGATACATAAATTTGAAACTCCGCTAGTGATGTACCTAAAACTAATATTTGTACATTATCAATATAAAGACACTGGGCATTAAAAATTAGCATATTTTCACAAATAGTTTTGCACATAAGTGTAAAAGTACGAGATATTACAATCCAACTATGCTTTATACGGGTCCACAGGTATAAGTAAAGAAGGCTAAAGTATACAAAATTATTTTTATTTTAATTCGCTTTAATTTTAAGTGAAAATCTCAAAATTGGCACGTTTATTCATCTAAATCTTATACATCTCATCACTTCATACATAAAGTAGGTTTTTCAATACGGCTTTGGATCTATTATCTTTCTTCTACAATGAAGTCTTTGGTGATGGTAGAAAATTATTTATAGTAAAATGATTTCTTGACGTTTCTTCTTAGTAAAACTAAAAATATGTACTAAACAGTAAAATTATTTTGTGGGTTTAATGGTAGTAAAATGTTTATAGGTACAGATGTAGATTTTATAAACTGGTAATTTAGTCTTTTTTAATGAACTAACTCTCAGAACAATGTAATTTAAATTTAGGATAAATTTGTGTATTGTGTATTAACATTAAAAAAGAATTCCGTCAAATGAAGTCAAAAATATCTGTGCTGTTATTAGTTCGGTATCCCGAGTCAATTTTCACCCTTTATTACTAAAAAGTTATTTTTCGTGAGTAGTTTCAGTTTGAAAAAACGCCCAACTGTTGCCCCTACAAAAATTTGCGTTTGTGGTCGCTAACAGGGGTAGCATGAAATATGTTGATTTGACGACTCTCAGAAATTTATTACTAACAGGTTTTTTTTGTTAATTCTCAAGATAATTATCTACGTCCTACAAAATGCAAGGTTCTATAAAAGAGTCCCCTAAAGAGTCTGACTTAGAGAAAAAGCGACGAATGTCTACCAACAAAGGCCAAGACCAATAGATTGGCTGAAAAAGTGATAATGAAAGGTATTATTCGTAATATAAGGTAATAACTGACGTAGACTAGGCAACTTTATTTATCGTTTCAACTCGATTCCAAGGGAATACGCCCTGGTTTGCCTCGCGAAAAATGCTTTTCCGTTTAGACAACGCATCTGCGCTTAAGAAGAAACTATTTTACAGGCAAAATTACACTAATTGGGATATAAATTGGTGGACAATTCATCGTATTCGCCAGATTTAGCTTTGTTACGTTAGGAATTCTCCTAGTTACTTTCCGCAAAATATCTGTTTCGAAAAAAGTCGAATCATATCTTCTGGCAAACATGACTCAATAAGAGGATAATATATATATATATATATATATTATATATATATATATATATATATATATATATATACAAATAGAGTTTTATTTCATACAGACCAATTGCTGAGACTACAAATAATATTTAACACAGTACGGTCGAGAATAATTCGATATTTATAAGTGATACCTTAAAAAGACATGTAACAGTCAATGATATTAACAGATTTGTGAGTAAAACTCAAGTCAATGGACATTATACGGTAATATTGTATAAACAATCAATTAACTAACAACATTTAGCAACTTATTAAAAAATCAGCACAGCAACAGAACATGTGGTCTAAAGTATATGTAATATTTTATTTTATATTAAGCAGTGAAAAAGAACTAAGAATATCGTAGATTCACTTTCAACTATTTGATAATTATTTAAGCTTTGATTTTGACTTTAGGTAGCATTATTAAAGTGATTTGAATAATTTTTTTTTAAATGTAGTGTAAATGAAGTTACCGCACAAAGCCTCACAGATGCCGCAGGGAAAATGGCGTTAATTGAAACAGACCGAACCAAACCGTGAAAAGACAGCCAACCTTGAGGTCAAAAATTTGACAGAACAGCAAGGTAGAAGTACCACCCCAAATAATTGGGCGGTGTATTTAAAAGTTCAAATGAGTTTGGATGACAACCCGCTTGTAAGAGACAAACCAATGAAAGAAATTGGTATTATAACAGCAATTCCTCGCATTAACCAGTCTAGAACGAACAAACAGGCGAAATTCATTCAACCTCATATATAATTAATAAACGTCAAACATTATGGCTGGATAATCCGCCACAGGTGATCAACGAAAAATAATTTCCACAGTCCAAGGTTCCAAGTGGATGAACATCATCGAAGCAGTAAACAAATTTGTATACCTGAGAGCGCTCCTTAACACTGAGAATAATACTATCGCGGAGATAAACCGCAGAATTTGCACGGCCGACAGATGCTATTTTGGGCTCCACAATTATATCAATAAATACAAAAATAAAAATTGTAAAATATATTAATATAGGACGTCTGAGGTGGATAGGGCATGTAATGCGGATGGAACAAAATGATTCAGCTAGAAAAAAGCTCCTTGATAGACCCATTGGTCAGAGAAGAAGAGGAAGACCCAGAACAAGGTTTCTTGATAACATCTATGAAGACATAAGAAATACGGGAATATCTGCTTGGCGGAGGAACGCGATGGATAGGGACGACTGGAGAGAAATTCTGGAGGAGGCTGGACCGACACTGGGTTGTTTAGTCAGAATGATGATGAATACACAGAAGTATAAAGGTAATAAAAAAGTGGATGCTGTTCAATTGAATGAAAACCAATTATGGGAAGGTAATCAATATAGAACATGCTGCAACAAAATTCGAAAATGGCTCTACATCACATACAAAAAGACCTTGAATCAAAAACGAAATATTTATGTATGATTCCATTCAAACGGCTAAAAACAGAGATTGATGGTGTCAAAGAATACTTCCTGTCGTGTTATCAAAGAGGGGTTACAAATAATAATCGTTACTTCACAACATCAGTTTATTCTCAACCCTCAAACATACATGCTTGCCCGAGCTTCGGCTACGTTCACATGACATCCCTGTCATCTGTGTTGCCTAACTCCGGCGCCTATATCTTAATCTAAGCTAACAACACATCTCCTTTTTTTTTATAAAAGATCCCTGTGTCATTAATGATCTTATACCTAAACTAACTTAAACTACTACAAACATAATCTGTTAAATGAACCGGTTTCTTCACAAGTCTTTTTGGCCTGCTAGGCTTTACGCACTCAAAGTCCGATACACTATCGCTTTTATCCTGACCCGATGGAGGTAAAACATGATTTCCACTTTGTTCGATTTTGTCCTGAAATACACTGGGTTCCCCCTTACTACTTTCCTCCATTATTTTACCCTGTATGTCACCATTGCTTTGATTAGAGCAAGGCATTAGCTTTGTGTTACTAGAAATTGGCGGAACATAATCATTTGAGGATTCTGGTTGGGTGCTCAATACAGGGAAACAGTAGGGTGCATGAATCAAATGCCATCTATTTCTTCTAAATTTCCCGGTTTCAGTTTCAATTATATAGGACCTGGGTTCCTGACAGATCGCAACAACTCGCCCATATTTCCTGATATCAACCACCCACACAGAATCACCAACCTTAAGAGGATCTAAATCCTTGGCATTGTGTCGCTTATTGTAGTTTTTCACTTGTTTATCCTTTATTTCATTCTTTTTATTTTTAGTGTTTGGTTCTTTTGAAAAGTTTAATAAGCTTGGAAGCTGGGGTAAGTTAGATCTTAATTTTCTATTCATTAATAATTCAGAAGGTGAAACACCACATTCTAGGGGTGTACATCTATATGCTAACAATGCCAAACTTAGGTCCTCTTTTTTTATTTTTCTGAATTAATCTTTTTGCAATTTGTACAGTGCGTTCCACTCCACCGTTGCTCTGAGGCCAGTGCGGACTGCTCGTCGTATGAACAAAATTATATTCTTTTGAAAACTTTATAAATTTTGATGAAAATTGAGTACCACGGTCGGATCTAACTTCCTCTGGGATACCATAACGAGAGAAAATATCTTTAAGCTTAGGAATAATGGCATCTTCTGTCATATTGGTTAAAGTAAAAATTTCAAACCAATGTGAAAAGTAGTCAGTGGCAATCAAATACCACTTATCATAACATTTAAACAAATCAACCCCCAGTTTTTGCCACGGCCTTTGTACAGTATTGTTTTTATGAAATGTTTCTCTATGATTTACTCTGTGTTCAACACATTGGGGACAATGTGTGACAAGGTTATTAATCTGGGATGACAAACCCAGCCACCAAACGCTCTGTTTGGCACGATCTCGACATTTTACAATTCCCATATGGCCTGTATGAATAAATTCCAACACCTTGAGTTGAAGACTCTTAGGAATGATTATGCGAGACCCTTTTAAAAGTAATTGTTCCGAATAGGAAATTTCATATCTATATTGATAGTATGGCAACAATTCAAATGGCAATTTAGATCTTTCAGGCCAAGAAGACAAAGAATATTCTTTTAGTTTTTTACAAATATATTCATTTTCTTGTTCTGTTTTTATTAAATTCAAAAAATAATCTTTAATTGGTAAATTATGAATAATTGACTGCACATATGCTGCAGTTTCTGCAGTTAGTTCTTTATTAGCTAACGTATCTGTTTGTAAAGGGGCCCGACTTAAAGTATCTGCTACAATTAAATTTTTTCCCGGCGTGTAGATTACAGTATACTTGTATCGCATTAAACGCATTCGAAATCTTTGCAAACGTGGCGTTAACTCATCTAAATTTTTAGTTTGCAGAATTTGTAGTAAAGGTTTATGGTCTGTTTCAAAAATTAGGTTAGGAACTCCTGAAATAAAATCATAAAAATATTCTGCTGCCCATGTAAGTGCAAGAGCTTCTTTCTCAATCTGAGCGTATCGTGTTTCAGCTGAGTTCAGAAGCCTAGATGTAAAAGCCACTATTTCCCGAGTATGATCTACATTTTCTTGAAATAGACATGCACCTATACCAAAACAACTTGAGTCTGCACTAACAATTATGGTTTTATTAGCATCAAAAAACGCTAGATTTGGAGGGCTCTCTAACTTTTGTTTTAAAGTGCTGAAAGCTTTATCTTGTGCTGGACCCCACAAAAAGTTAATATTTTTTTTTAGTAAGTGTGTTAATGGTTCAAGAATCTCAGATTTATTATGAATGTATTTTGCAGCAAAATTAATCATACCCAGCCATCTTGACAGCTCAGTCTTATTTTTTGGTTCAGGAAAATCACGGATAGCTTTAACCCTATCTGGATCAATTAATATCCCTTGCTCAGAGACCATATGACCCAAGTATTTAGCTGTTTTTGTTGCTATAGAGCATTTGTTTTTATTTAGTGTAATACCTTCCTTATGAAGTTTTGTTAGGACTGTGTTCAAAATATTGTCATGTTCCTCTATTGTCCTTGCATGAATAAGAATGTCATCTATATGGACAACACAGCCTTCAATGCCAGTTAAGATTTTTGAAAATCTCATAGTAAAATACTCTGGGGCACAAGATATACCAAATGGAAGCCTTTTAAAGAAAAATCTGCCAAAAGGTGTTATAAAAGTTGTTAACAACTGACTTTCCTTATTCAATTTTATTTGGTAAAACCCACTTGTGGTATCCAATTTTGAGAAGAATTTAGACCCTTTCAACTGTGCTAGTGTATGAGATATTTTCCCGAGAGGAAAATGTGACCGTAACACGTTTTCATTAAGTTTAGTATAGTCACCACAAAGCCGTACACAATCTCCCTTGTCCACACAAACAATTGGGCTGACCCAAGAAGTAGGATCTTCAATGGGTTCAATTATCCCTAATTTTAGCAATCTATCAATTTCAATTCTTAATTTTGGTAACAGAGGTAAAGGAACAGTTCTGGGAACGCTCTGTACATAAGGTTTAGCATCTGGCTTAATTCTAATTGACATTTCCATTTTAAATTCACCTATATCACTAAAAATACCAGGAAATGTTTTAGCAACAGACTCTAAATTAAATTTTGAAAACATATTAGTACTCTCAGATTGATTACAATGAACAACACTGCAACTGATTTGATTTACCTGTTTAAGCTTACAATTAGAAAAATTTAGAACATTAAACTTAATGATTGACTCTCTGCTTAATATAGGTTGTCTCAACTTCCTAATACAATATATTGTTTCATCATTTGTAAAACCGTCATAAGTAAATTTTATATGTAGCTTACCCACTGTGTCCAATTTATGATCGTCCGCTGCACCAATTGCATCACATGCCACAATTTTACCCACATATTCTGGAGGTAATTTTTCATAGGGAAAGCAGTTAACATCTGCTCCTGTATCCACAAAAAAAGGTACCTTAAATTTGTCATCCAATAAGATGTCTACATACCAACGATCCTTCTTGTCTAGGTACACTTGGCCAATAAAGGAATCTGTATGTACCACTTGATTTACTGAATCCCTTCCTTCGTCATCTGTACTACTGCTACTGGTGGACCTTGAACACTTAACAGCTCTGACAGCTTTCTTCCTGCACATCACACTCCAATGACCTCTACGTGAACAAGATCTGCATTCAGAGAACTTGGCTGGACATTTCTCCCTATTTTTACATGTAGGTATGCCACAGTATCCACATCTGTAACCTTCCTTAACTTTCTCATGAGTTGTTTCTTGTTTAGCAAAACTCTTACCTTGATGTCTTTTATCAGTACGCTCCCTGTAGTCCTGTTTAACTGCACTAACTGACTGCTCCTGTCTCATAATTCTATTTTGACTATCTTGAAGTTCAGCTTGGCGTGCTATTTGTATTGCCTTCTCTAGTGTCAAACCATCATTTAGTTGCATTCTTTCGCTCACCTTTTTATCAGCTATTCCGATAACTATCCTGTCACGAATTAACTCATCTTTAAGAGCTCCATAGCTACAGTGCTCTGCAAGAGTATGTAGACTTGAAATAAAGTTTCCCACAGGTTCTCCTGGCCTTTGTACCCTTGAATTAAATTGAAATCTCTCAAAGATTGTATTTCTTCGGGGAATAAAATGATTGTCGAAAATCTGCATTACATCTTGAAAGGATGCATTCTCCACTGGTTGATTTTGAAGTAAAATATCTTCTGCTTCATTTCCCATTAAATACAACAGTAGGTCTAATTTATCCTTGTCAGATTTTTGTCCAAATCCACTTACAGACATATATCTCTCTACTCTTTTCTTCCATTGGGGCCATGTCTGGGGCTGTGTAAAATCAAATTCGCTTGGAGCCGAAATGTTCGCAAACACTTCTTTATTTATTTGGATAGGTGCATCCATTTTAAGGATTTTAGGTCCCCTCTGATTTATAGGTTATGCATAAGATTTGCACTGTTGTCACGTTTGACCACTCTTTGCTTGTTTAATGTTAACAAAACAAAGCACCAGCTGCCACCATGTCGTGTTATCAAAGAGGGGTTACAAATAATAATCGTTACTTCACAACATCAGTTTATTCTCAACCCTCAAACATACATGCTTGCCCGAGCTTCGGCTACGTTCACATGACATCCCTGTCATCTGTGTTGCCTAACTCCGGCGCCTATATCTTAATCTAAGCTAACAACACACTTCCCACCTATAAATATATACTTAAATCATATGCCCATAGACGTATAGTATCCCACGATGCTCTTAAGTGTACGAACGACCTCAATGAGGAACTATTTCATGTTCAAATAACTTGAAGGAGGCCGTTTTACAACTAAAAATGAGGTTATGGTGGAAACTGCACGCAACTTTTTAGGAACTCTGGCAAATGACATTTCGGAGGGGTGAGGGGGAGAATTGTTATAAAAGAAGAATGAGAGAAAGAAAAGAGAGTATATTGAAAAATAACAGACTAAGGGTAAACAGAAATGAAAAAATTAATAAAAATCTTACTTCGGCTAAATTAATATCAAACACCCTTCTCGTAAAATTGATCACACTTAGCACTTACTTAATGTTCAAAGTAAATCAAAGTTAAGTTCCTGTTTAGTACATATTTTTATCTGTTTGTTAATAATTTTAACTTAGCACGTGTTTATTTACTTTTTTATTTTTTTTTTCTAATAATTGGCACGCTTTCGTTTCTTGTTATTTTAACAGAGTACCTGGTGACGAATCCCGACCATGTTCCAAGTTAGTATACACTTTTTATTTATGTTCGTTATGTTAATAAAAAAAAGTTTTTGATTTCCATAATATCTGCCTTTCATAAAAGACAAAATAATAACATTTTAGCAATTAAGTTATAAATAGGATATTAAAAATCTTTCTGCAGCACTGGCGAAAATCTGTGATCACCCAGCAAAGAGGCTTATTATGCCTCCTAAGTTCTGTAAGTAGGATTCGCTTAACTCATTCGTTGAGTGCAACGTTGAGCATTCGTTGAACTTCCAACACCGGCAGCTGTTTTCCTCTGAAAAGCCACTTAGAAGTCTTTAACTACCTTTTTTAGATGTGCCTTATCCAAAAACTTGGCAGGTGTTGATCGATAAGGTCGTAAGTCACTTTTATTATGCACTTCATCCACAATTCATCCTTCATCCTTCCATTCCAAGTATGAGGTATATCTTGTGTGTTCTTGCATCAAACTTTGCTTCACGGAGCCCCCTTCAGTTATTTTTTATGCGATTTTAATCAATTCTCTTTATATGTTTTTTCCATTTTATTTTTTATTGTTTTATTTTCTAAGACCCACATTAAAAAAACCCACTAAGATTGATCCTACTCTTCTTCACTTGTTTGAACTTGTCAAAAACAGGTTTCGAAATGTGGCAACCGTGTATGGATATTTTTAAACGAATTTACAATATTTTTCAACAATAATTACTGCAGATATGTGAGAATCGAAAAGCTTTTTTAATTATTAGTGTAAAAAACAACTATTGCTGCTTTTTGGCTTACGCTTTCTGGAAAAAAACTGCTTCTTTTGTATGACAACGTTGTCATATGTCAAAATTTTAAAAATTACAGCAATTACAAATATTACGTAGAAAATATAAATGTAATATCCTTTCAGTTCCTTAATTGTTTATTTTTAACAGGTGGTGGATCATATATGTCATAAGTAGTGTTTAGATTTACAGATTTAAAAGTTTATATTATTATTTAAATTATTAAATTGAGTGCAAACCAAACAAGGTTTTAATATTTTTCAGATAATCATAATCAGATAATAATTATTATTTCAGATAATAATTTCATGGAGCAGCAAGCGAACATATTCTTACAGAGATTGAGTCCCTATTGAGTTTCAACTATCTCTATTGAGCTGCAACACACATTAATATTTAGGACATTGATCACCAACTTCACTATTTGTGTCCTAATTTATTTATCCTTGTTTTTATCACAGGCTAGGGGCTATATATCTTTGGTTCTTAATCGTGAGACCTTTTTACCAAACCCTGTACTGTATCTAAACGGCATAAATAAGTTATATGCTCTTTCTTTTCTTGTAGGGTGTTTAAACATTTCTTGTGACTACAGAAATAAGAACTACAAAGATCTATCTATGTACGGGAATCCTATAGTTCCTTGCCACACCCGCAAGCATCAATGACATGAGTAACACCAAGTCATATGGTTCCATCTCTTGCCGTACTGCTCATCAATAGATACACAAACGTATTCTAGTTTAAGCGTCAGATTTTATACTGCTATAACTTTATTAGACCACTTACAGTGAAGTGAGTGCGCTTCACCTGTCTGGACCGCTTGGCTATCAGAACGACAATACAGTTTAAGCTCTCTAATCATTTGGATATTATTGCTCTTGTGATCTATCTCTCCGACGTCTGAGAGGGCAAATGGATATGAGAAGAGAAGTGATTGCTTGTAAAACGAACACTGGAGTTGTTATTAAGACTCTTAGTGTAGCCTGCTTTCAGACTCCTTGTTCAGGCGGCCGCCTAAGAGTCTAGATTTGTCTATCGTCCTATATTTGGATTGCCTTGAATCCTGTATGAAGACCATTTTATCCCAATATTGCTGAATCGGGTATACAATATCTTTTTTAATCATTAGTTTTAGAAATCACTGTTGTCTTCAAGCAGCTTTGTAACCTCCACCACAACAATATTTTGATGGGAATATGCATCCTCTGGGGTACAATGATGTTACATATCCGGATTGTGGAGCACAGTACTCACAGGACAAATCTCACCAAATGATTATTCAGTTATGGTGCAGTTTTCTGGTGATTTGCCGATTGAGCATGGTCTATGATTGGTGGTGCAGATGTGCGTTTATATCATAATCAATAAATCTACAATTAATGACATAGCTGCTTAAGTTCTCTGTTTATCTGCAGATATAATCTATAGGACTTTCCTTATTATCCCTTGCAGGATGAGAAATTTTCCGCTTTATTCTGCATGAAGTAATGAAGACAATAACCTGACAGATCATGCTCACATGATTTTGCCAATGTCAGCACCCTTATATCTCATATGGCTGAGATTTTTTATTTGGACCCTGTACAAGGATTTTCGAGATACATTAAGTTTCTCAGTGTTTTTTGTAAGAGAACGGAGTGTGTTTGCCATCCTGTGTAAATAGTTTTATTAATTTTTGGTCATTTTATAGTCCCTCGTTTTTGTTTGTATGTAATTTAATTGATTACCGATTGCTTGAGTATTGAAATAATTCCGAACTTTTAATGCAGATAGAAAGCTTAATATGACAAATTAGGTGACCTGTTGCTTATCCAGTGGACTTTTTAAGACAGGCAACTGTCATGAACATTTGGGCACGATACAGTATGCCTATATCTTACTTGCTAGTCTCTTCATTTCGTGACAGAGTAGTCTCTTTGACTTAAGTCCCTTCACCTCGACAAAGTGATATCTTTTTGGGTAGAATAATCATCCGAAATCTATAAGTAGCACAAATAAATTAACAAAAATAGATTAATATCGACTTATGTATATGTGATCCCATAGGAAATTTGTGTACACAGAAAAAGTGGAGCCAACTTCACAATAAAATAACACTATGGATACACAAGTTTATTTAAATTATTCTACTTTATTTACAGTGGTGTTTCTGTTTATTTAGGTATTGAACCACCAAAAGGATTCCGTCAAATCTACAAAGAACAGGGACCAGAAGCCTTCGCCAAAGCCGTTCGAAACCACAAAGGAGTTCTATTGATGGACACCACCTTCCGAGACGCCCATCAGTCTCTTCTAGCAACCCGTGTTAGAACCCACGATCTCCTAAAGATCTCACCGTTTGTCGCTCACAACTTCAACCAGTTGTACTCGCTGGAGAACTGGGGAGGAGCTACATTCGATGTCGCTTTAAGATTTCTACACGAGTGTCCGTGGGAGCGTCTTGAAGATATGAGAAAAATGATTCCTAATATTCCTTTCCAAATGTTGTTGAGAGGTGCCAATGCTGTAGGGTATACCAATTACCCGGACAATGTTGTTTATAAATTCTGTGATTTAGCTGTAAGTACCTTAGTTAACATATCAATTCTTTAGTATTTTTTATCAACGTTAAAATATATTATTAACAATTCTACTTTATATATATTTGTTGAGTATCATTTGTGTTCATTTTTAGGTTCAAACTGGTATGGACGTCTTCAGAGTATTCGACTCGCTTAACTATTTACCCAACTTAATCGTCGGCATGGATGCTGCTGGAAAGGCAGGAGGTATTGTCGAAGCTGCCATTTCCTACTCTGGCGATGTCAGTAATCCTAACAAGAAGAAATATGATCTGAAATATTATCTCAACATCGCTGATGAATTGGTGAAAGCCGGAACGCACGTATTGGCTATTAAGGATATGGCTGGTTTGTTGAAACCCAAAGCAGCTAAGTAAGATTTTATTACATCAACTAATACTGCGTGTTGTGGTATAATATATTCAAATTATATTAATATTAATTTGGTTAGTAATTATTAACCTAATTATATTAAGTGAATTCAAATAGAATAGTAAAAACGCATTACATATACAAATATTAATGTTATTTAACGCTTTGAAGCCCGATTTTTATTAAATTAAAAAAAAACAGAATTTTTGTGAAATTTATTTTAGTATATTCTTAAAACAAATTCATTTAAAATTAACAATGCTAATCCTGAAGTATATCCTGCAGGATGTGGTATGCTCAAGATACCAACAAGAACATAGCGTAACAAAAAATTTAATAAGAAATAAAAACCATAGCACTTCGTTCCTCCTATTGTTTTGCATGGAACGTTGCACAACAATTTTTGTCCTGTTTGAGACAAACTCCGACATTGCAAGGTGAACATTTTCACTGTGTTCTGCTAACATTTGCTGTCTTCTTGCAGTTGGTCCATATCAAAGTAGTTCTTTGGGGCATATGAGAAAACTTTGAATGGCGAATTTCTAAGGGAATATGCCTTTTGAATTTACTCACTGATTTTTCTGCTGATGCTCTTCCCCTTTTTAATTGTTCTGGAGCTCCAGTAAGGGCTCTTATTACAGAGAGCCGGAATTCTTTCAAAGAGATACTTTTGGATTGGCTTCTAAGTTGAAATAGAATGAATGCGTTTACAACGCAAGCATCCATAAAATAAAAAAAAATATTCTATGCCACCACTTGTGTGATTTGCGATTCACTTCATAAAGACTTTTTAGTTCAAATTCGTCAACATATCTCATATGTGACCTGTAGAGTACTACTATTTGTGAACATGACACCTCATTCAGAGTAGCGTCTTTTTGTCTTCTCTTTACAACTTCGTTTGTTGCTGGATTTTGGTGATTTGCTAAAAGAATCACACTTCTACGATCCATCCACTTCAATGCAGATAGTCCATCTGTTGAAATACGATAATCTGAATCTCCCCGATTCATTTGTTTGTCAGTTTTGAACTCTAGTAAATCCTTTCTTTTTTTTTAATGATTTCACTTGCCTAAATTCCGTCCGACAATAAAGATCTCTGAAGATCAATACTGTTGAAATAGTTGCCCCTTTACCAGTATATATCTGGATCTCGCACATGAATCGGCTTGAATCTGCTCTAACCCAAACTTTGTAGCCTTGTTTTATAGGTTTATTAGGCATATACTGCCGGATACTGCTTCGACCTTTAAATCGTATCATAGACTCATCAATCTCGTGAAACTCATGTGGATTCAGTGCTGCAAGAAACTTTTCCGTGAGTTTGGCCAGTAGAGGTCGCACTTTGTAAAGTTTGTCAAATCCGGAATCAGTTTTTTTGGCTGCATAAGTTTTTTTATTATCTATCAGATATAATTTGCCTAGTAACCTAGCAAATCTGTTACGTGACATAGCCGAACTGATGAAAGGATCTCGTAATTCATCACGTGACGACCAATAATCTCTGTAACTGAGCATTACCTCTATATATCCATTAATAAATTTATTCCAAAAAATGTTTTGACTTCGTCTTCTGTGGATGTAAATCCATATCCTCCTCAGTGTTTTTGAGCGTAATATAGATTGGTTTGAAATACAATTAGGTGAATTAGATGCTCGGGGAATAGTTCCAAAAACACATCTGTGGGGTTCTCTGCAGAATTTGGAATATTTGGACCTGTAGTTTTAATAAATTGATTTGTTTGTGTTATATTACTTTCATTTTGGGTCCAAAATATATAGAGTTATCTCGCTTTGCTAGTCGTATTGCTAGCGGTACTTCGTCTTCACCGTCCGATTCCGATTCTTGATTATTTGGAGTATTGGTTGTTTCGTCTTGATTGTTAACTTAGTCTTCAAACATGTTGTTCATATTTTCAATATCAAAGACATCCTCATTATTTGGTCGTCGAAATTCATCAACATCCAATTCATCTTCCAAGACGCTTTCAATATCAGAGACAATTGACTCATAGTCACTTGGAATTTCATCCAATAAGGCATCTACCTCGTTTTGGGACATATTTTTCAACTGCCTGAAGCTCCACATTTGATTTTGCATATTGTTAGAATTTATATAGGAAGTGCCTTGTGGTCGTGCCACAATACCATATAAAAGACAGTGATCTACAAAAAAAATTGAAATGTATTCATGCAAATAACAGTGCTTAGTGTGAAATAGACTTTAAAAATATCACTTACCCGTAATTTTTGCAATTAATAATAATTGAATAAAAAAGAAAAAAATTAAAATATGTCGCTCTGTCAACCAATTTTACACACTGGTATGACTGTTAAACCTTTAGGAAGTTTAAAAGAAATATTTGTAAAGGTGGTCACCGCAGTATACCGACAGTCGTCAAAGGGTTAAAACATCTATCAGAAGTCTACTTCGACCTTGCTAGCTTGCATAAATATTGTTAAGTATTCGATTTAACGATTCGTCATTGAATATGCTATTAAAAGTCGGACAGACAAGCGAACGGGTTCAATCATTGTTAATTATCTTTTGTCTTAGTTAAGCACATTTATTACGATTATTAAATAAGTATCTCATCGTCCGATTAGAATCTATATGTGATTATAGTGAATTGTAGAGAAATAAACGATGTAAGACAGTCTATTATATATTTTCGAACCACTGTACAATCCAGATAAGAGCAATGGAGATGTATCGACCTGCCTACACTACAAGAACATTTTTACTTTATTATGTGGCAATCCTACTTTATTGTAATGTTACCTACTACATTTTATGGGAATTTACTATAATTTTAATTGAAATTATTTTGACGTTTCGGTTTCCACTTGTGAAATGATTGATAGATAATAGAAATGCCGCCAAAAAACAGTTTCAGTTCTTTCTGTTCTCTCTCATAATACTCTGTCCTACATGGTCTATTGTATTTAATGGCAAAAATCCGTAATTATAATTGAAAATCCTATTATTTTGACGATTAGATTTCCCAAGTGAAAAATATTCTCGTCCCTTTTGTGCATCAATTCATATTATATTTTTTCAGGATGCTTGTGTCAGCTATTAGGGACAAATATCCTGATCTTCCAATTCACATCCATACGCATGACACCAGTGGTGCAGGAGTAGCTGCTATGCTCGCATGTGCCGAGGCTGGAGCAGATGTTATCGATGTTGCCGTTGATTCTATGTCTGGAATTACAAGTCAACCGAGTATGGGAGCGATTGTTGCCAGTTTACAGGTAAAAATTTCTAAATGTATTATTTTTAATGGATCAATTTATTAGGGAACTGTATATACAATGATACGGACTATTTTTATGTATCATATGGCATACATATTGTTTAAATAAATATATACACTTCATCTAATTTATATAACGATGCACGTCATCGGCGTCATAGCCTGTGGCGTCACATGATACCAACACAAAATATTTAGGGTGTAGGTGTGTTCTTTTTTAGAACCACTTTACCGAGTACACTGACATTACAGCCACTAGACATATTTTATTATATACGCGTAGAAATCATATTTAAAAATTTCTATTAATGTTAACTTGAAGAAATACACAATAATATGTTTCATTTAATTTGTATAAATGCATTATAAAGCGTTTTTATCAAGAACATTTGTTCGGAACACACTGTAACTGTAATCGAACGAAGGTAAAATTTTGGTATAAATTGGTAACACTTATTTGACAGTTGCGGTGTTGACACTTTTTGCACTTCATTATTTTGAATTTTAAAGTGAATATCTCTTGTTTTATATTTTTAACTATCTAATAAAATCTGTTCTTTTTAGAACAAAATTAGTGTGTTTTATTTCAAAAATGTCACGTAAGAATTTAAATAGTCGTTGTAAAGAGATGGTAATACTTTTGCAATAATTATGTAACTGTAATCGAACGAAGGTAAAATTTTGGCATAAATTGGTAACACTTATTTGACAGTTGCGGTGTTGACACTTTTTGCACTTCATTATTTTGAATTATTGAATTATGAAAATATTGAATTAAAGTGAATATCTCTTGTTTTATATTTTTAACTATCTAATAAAATCTGTTCTTTTTAGAACAAAATTAGTGTGTTTTATTTCAAAAATGTCACGTAAGAATTTAAATAGTCGTTGTAAAGAGATGGTAATACTTTTGCAATAATTATGTAATCTATTTGATTTAAAATGGAGTCAGGATTTTTTTTATACTTTGGCAACTATGTCAACTCCGATCTCTGACGTAGATAATGACGTAAGTCGTTATCTAAATTAGATGAAGTATATTTAATACACATCCTGTACATAACACACCCTTGAACGATGTCACATTTATTTTAAGCTTAATATTAAAATTTTTAATCAGCTCCATCACGTTTTCAAGAATTTATATATAAAACCATACAAACCGTGTCCAGCCTTCAATATTTAGTTTGTAGCTTCTCTTTTTACGTGATAAGAAGTTAGTGTTATCAGGTATATTCATTATTATCAAAATTATCACCAATGAATATTGTGTTAAATCAAAAGTAGTTGCACTCATTACATCTAAGAAACATTTAAATTGTTATGAAAGTAACAACTTTTGCAGAATGTTGAAATTAAACAGGGTTGCCAGACCGATTTATAAAATTCCCCCAACCTGAACTTCAAAATCCCCCAAAAATGACCTTTTTTAAAAAAAAATCCCCCAAAATTTTAAATGTATTTATTTATTTATTATTACATTTTGCAAGTTGGTTATATATGTTTTATGCATAGAATAACTTTTTTTATAGAACTTTTCATCTATTCTCATTTGTTTCGAGCTTCTGTCATTTAATCCGGGTATATTAATATTATACACAGATTATATAATATATGACAGAAGCTCGAATCGAAACAAATGACAATTGACATGGAACCTAACGTCTGACGTCATAATGGGTGGGAATTTTGAAAACATTTCCAAACAAAACAAATCTGCTGTATTTCTCTCATAAGAAGTTGGAAATGTTAATTTTTTAAATATTTTAAAGAATAAATAAGGACTTTCGCTTCTGAATATCCATTCTGTGCGATTGGTTTTCGTGTTCGTAAATTTGTGAGCAGTAAGAGTATCAAAGTATGTATTAAGATATTTACTGTCAAAGTTCATATTTTGAGGTTATATTGTGTTAGATTAAGTGGTTGTTTATCTGTTAGTGTTTCAAATACTTGTTTGTATGCTATTTGCCTTTTTGTACTACAAGAGAACCAATTGTGACATTCCTTAATTATAAAGTCCAAATGACGAGGTAGAAGTTTAAATGCATGCTCTGCTGCTAAATGCAGAGAATGGCAGACACACTTAATAACAACAAGTTCATTATTCTTAACCTTTAACAAAGAAGCTACAGAATTGTGTGCTCCAACCATAACATTTGCACCATCAACACCGATTCCTATCAGATTTTCTGATTTTAAACCATCTAGGTCTAGTTGCTTTGTCACTGCAGCTGAGATAGTTACGGCATCACCCTTTTCAATTTCGATAAGTTTATAGAATGTCGTAACGATCTTAGTTTGCTTTTTACTAAAATATTTTATCATGACACATAGCATTTTTGTTGAATCAACCGCAGTACTCTCATCTATAATCAATGAGTATTTACTACCTGCAATATCCAAAAGTAATTCGTTAAGTATGCAGGGAGCCAATACATTCAATATTAAAGATGTACATTTTGTTCTATGTAATTTTATTTCATTTAAAATTTCTGAGGATGTATCTAAATTTTTTAATAGTGATCCTAGATGGTCAATTGTTGAAACTGAGTAGTGCACGCATATAAATGCAGCAATTTTCAATTCTGCTATTTTTCTGCTGGAGGTCAAACCTTTTTTCATAAACTAAGTAATTTTTTTACTGGGGCCGGCCAAAGATAGTTTCTCATCCGCTTGATGTTTTTTACTTTTACCATGGAGTAATAAATCGTTTTTATGTGCAGCTAAAGTGCATTTACATTTCTTGCAAAATGCTTTTGTCTCATCTTCTTGTACAGGACCAATCCATCCTATATAGAATAATTAATTATTAATAACCCAAACCATAAAAATTGTATTAAACAGATTACCTTTAAGTTCAGTATCCGATTCCCAAGCAATGGTATTTTCGGGTATACTCCTTTCCTTTAGACATATTTTTAAATCAACACGCGTACAAACACTAATTTAAATAAATTATGCGTATTGAACACACCAGATATATAACCTTCAAACTTACACGAGGTATCACAGAAATATAACCCTCAAAATTAATTCTAGAATTTCTAGAAATAGAAAAGTAAATAAAGTTAAACAATAGGACAGGAAGGAGATACCATTTTCTGTGTTCTATCACAGAAAATGGTACACAAAAACAAAATGGTACGCTAAAAGCGCAAGAAAATCAAATGTTGTTGTGCTGCTGTTGAAGAAAACTGTAATGTAATGTACCAAATAAGTTTAATAGTTTGTACTAGATGGCAGAATCGACTGTAAATGAATTTATATTCAAAGATTTTTGTGAATCACAGTTTAACTTGAAATTCAAAATCGACGAGGCAATGGAATGTGCTCTTAAAATTATGCCCCAAAAAAACCCCATGTAAAAAATTTTCCTCCAAAAAATACCCCACTCAGTATATACCCCCAAAAAATCCCCCAAGCAAGAAAAAATACCCCAAATTTGGGGGAAAATACCCCAATCTGGCAACCCTGAAATTAAATATTTTATCTCTGAATAATGTCAAATGTCATATTCTTCTTTTATTTTAAGGTTATAAGGTATTGTTCTCAAGCTATTTTCTTGGGAAATTTTAATGCAAACTCAAAAATTAGCGATATAGGTGTGTGTGGTCGCATAATGGCCGTTTTTTGTTTTCCGCGTATCGATGTACCTACTCATGCAGACAATTCCATGTGAATCCCAAACCACAGTTATATCAGAATTCATGCTGACAGTTTTTGCCTTGCTTGTTAGTAGAAAACGTTTGTGTCAATTTTGAAACTTGTCTAGGTGTTAGGAGCATAATGCCTGATTCAAATTTCATTAGCGGTTATGAAACCCTACCACATTGTGTCAAAAAGTTCGTGAGAGATAACCACTTCATTTATTTTTTGACTAACTGATAGATAATTCATTTATCATGTTTTATATATTAAAAATAAAAAAATTACTTTAATTTTATTGATTTATTTCATTTTATAGGGTTCACAACACGATACGGGCATTGAATTACCCAAAGTTACCGAATATTCCGCCTATTGGGAGCAGACCAGAACGTTGTATGCTCCATTCGAATGTACTACGACGATGAAGAGTGGAAATGCTGATGTCTACAATAACGAAATACCTGGTGGACAATATACCAACTTACAGTTCCAAGCCTTCTCGCTAGGTAAGCAAATACGTCTTTATTTAATGTATGTATGACATTAAATATGTCACACGTTAAATGTCACATTTCACGTGTGACATTGACTCGACACAAATTCTATGCAGACATGTTGACACTTATATGTAACTTAAGGGCGAGCGCCCACCAAAGTGGCGTGGCAAGTAGCACGTAGCAAGTAGCACGCGTCTAGCATGTTTCTTAAAATGTAACCAATGAAAACAAATGATTAGAATGAATGACGTCACTGTCATTTTGGTGTACGCTGAATCATTCGTTTTCATTGGTTACATTTTAAGAAACATGCTAGACGCGTGCTACTTGCCACTTGCTACGTGCCACGACACTTTGGTGGGCGCTCTCACTAAGAATCCAAAAATGTGAAGTGTGTAATTTCATATTTTATATATTTGTATGTTAATTTTGGTTATATTTTTCAGGTTTGGGCGATTTCTTCGAGGACGTAAAGAAGGCCTACGCCGAAGCCAACCTCTTATTGGGCGACATAATCAAAGTAACGCCATCTTCCAAGGTAGTAGGAGATTTGGCGCAGTTTATGGTCCAAAATAAGCTTTCCCCTCAGGACGTTTTAGACAAAGCCGAAGAACTTTCATTCCCCAAATCCGTAATAGAATTCCTCCAAGGACACATTGGACAACCTTACGGGGGATTCCCAGAGCCTCTCAGATCTACCGTCCTCAGAGACATGCCTCGCATTGAAGGAAGGCCTGGTGAGAGTCTTCCACCGCTAGATTTTAAAACGCTAACAGCCGATTTAAAAGAAACTTTCCCAAATGCAACCGATAGAGATGTGATGTCTGCAGCTCTATATCCACAAGTCACAAATGAGTACTTGGCATTTAACGAGAAATTTGGGCCAGTAGATAAACTTCAGACTAGGATGTTCTTGGTAGGACCTAAAGTAGGAGAAGAATTCGAAGTGACTATCGAAAGAGGAAAAACTTTAGGCATTAAAACCCTAGCAGTAGCTGAAGATTTGACAGAAAACGGTGAGAGAGAAGTATTCTTTGAACTTAACGGTACTCTTCGATCAGTTTTGATCAGAGACAAGTCTGCAGGCGAAGAATTACACCTTCATCCTAAAGCTGAGAAAACCAACAAAAAGCAAGTAGGAGCTCCTATGCCAGGAACCGTAATTGATATTAGAATAAAGGCTGGTGACAAAGTAGAAAAAGGTACACCTTTAGTTATCCTTTCTGCCATGAAGATGGAAACCGTAGTCCAAAGTCCTGTAGCTGGAGTTGTCAAAACGATAGATGCTGCTATGGGAATGAAACTTGAAGCTGAAGATTTAATTATTACTTTAGAATAGGTACTACTTTCAGGAACGCTATTATACAGAGCCTGGTCATAATTTTAGTAACATTATAGTTGATTCTTTAAAAGAATATACTCATAAGAAACTTTCTGGCACTAAGTGCCTATTGGAGAGTGTAATATACGTCTTTGTCACCATATTTGTACTGATTAGGTACTCAAAATACTTGATTTTCTCAAGTGTTCTATGACGTTTAGTGCTTGGATCTTCTATCATACGTTACATCACAGAAATTGTTGTCCTATGCTATCACAAAATTGGCAAATAAGTGGTACATTTCGATGATCACTCTTTTCCAAGACCTACTTAAGATACAACTCTGCTAACCAACTGATCTAACAGGTTGATACCTCTCATGGTATTCGTAGGGTCCATAGTGATATATATGTATGTTTAATCATTATGTATATATGATTAATTATTTTGTTTCTGCTAGTATAGATCTCTGTAACATTCCCTATTTATTGTTGATGATATTGTAAACCTGAATGTTATAATTTTTCCTACTAATATTTTATGAGCTGACTGGAAATTTTGCTACACTTTTACTAACTAGAACACTACTGGAAATAAAATAATTTGACATTAACCAGTTGTCAAACGTCAAGTGTCAAATACCGCTGTTTAAATTTGTGGAATAACGGCTTTGATTTACAAGGAACGCAACTCATTAACAATTGAGAGGTAGCATTGAATACGACTTGAATAAAACAGACAGAAAAATAAAAGAATACAACATGGAATATGTTTGCCACAAATCTAAGCATCACAGGCTCTTTATTTTATGTTAAATATATATTTGCAGGCCATTGAAATCTACAAACTATTTTTTATAAGAACAAAATATTAAATATACTATATTTTTAAAAATACAAAGTATATAACGGTCGTTATGAAATATATTGTGTTATTTTGTACTATTTTAATGTATGTTTATTTGTTCGTTTTTATATTGCTGCAATTTCTTCTTGGTATAGAAAAACGTGTGTGTATTATTTTGTATGTGTCTTTCAAACACACTTTTAGGCTGGTTTTTGTAGACTTTTAAGCATAAAGTATGTCAAAAGTCATGTGTCAAACATCAAATGTGTTCAATTTACATAGAACACAACTCTGAACAATTAAGAAATAACATCAAATGCATTCGACCTTGATGGAGCACCAGGAAGAAAGAATAAAATAAGGCACGGAAACATCTTATAGTCGTTATAGATTATATTATATTTCAGACCTGTTTTTTAAATATTTTAAACCCTTTGTACAAGATTGCCGTTTGTACATTTTATCCTTATATGTGTAATGTTAGTTTATAAAAGTTAATCCGCACTGTTGTCTACACCTCCAAATATGTCAAAGGATGTATTCTTAACTGTTCAACCTAACCTAACATAACCTACCAATGGTAGTAAGGCGGAAAATCATAAACTAATGCTTTTCGGAAACTATACAAGCTTGCCTTACTCTCATCTTCATTGTGAATTCCTCTTTTCGTTGTATTAAGTTATAGAACATTATATATTTTATTGATAACTCTCATCTTTAACTCTAAATTCCAACTCCTGAAGATATCTTATCTTATTGCCAAGATATTTATTTTATCGTTTATTGCGTTGTCGAATGCATTGTCATAATCTAGGAAAGACATCTTTTCGTTGATCCAAGCCTATGTTCTTTAATTAAAACTGCATCAAGACAATGACATCACTTACAGTTATAAGTTTATAAATGCTCTTTCACTCGTATAAGCCATAAGTGTGATTATTTTTTCGCTCGAACCGGGAGTACCTACTTGTCACATTCTTGACATTTGATCTATATGGGAATCTATAATTGATAATATACAAAAAAATTTGAGTAAAAACCATATTAAACTCGAATTGTCATAAGAAAAAGTCGATACATATGAAGCGATGAAATCAATGCTGTCGTAAGCCAAAGCAAAAAGAACTTTGTCGTGGGTCAAATGAACTGTGTTGCTGTTCAAATTTAATGTTTTCATTAATCAAACTTAATTGTCTCGGTAATAAAACGAGCCAAATTGATATCTATTACGGGCTACAGTTTGATGGCTGATTAAATTTAACTTTATCGAAAGTCAAGTTCAAATTTGGTGAGAAAGCCTAATTTAACTTGATCGGCGACTAAATTTGTGTCAAAACGTAACTGTTTCTCCAGACAAAATTAACTTTGTCGCAGATAAAATTTAACTTGTCACTAGCCGCATTCATGCCTGAGCTGATTTTTACTGTGTACTGCGTTTGAATAATAATTTATAGAAGTGAGTCTGTATTCATTAATGCCGTATAGGCTGAAAGTGTTTTTAAAAGACTACATGAATATTTCTAGTGTCATTTTAAGACATTTTACTGAACTAACCACATTTTTGTATTCATAAAAACACAATATGCTCGAAAAAATATCTCGAAGAAGTTGCAACTACTATCTAATGTTAATAATCTCCAATGACATTACATATACTTGTTTAGGCTGTGTTGTTAAAATACTTTTAAACGTTATTGTTATTATTAAAAATTTGTTAATGATTTATTGATATGTACCATTTTTAAAATAATAATCTTACCATGATCAGGTTTGTATAATTTGTTACTCTCTATATTTAATATATTTTTTTACATAAAGATGTTTTTATTTACAATGAGATAACATGAACGCTGTAACAAATGAGGCTTTAAAAGGATCCGACCACAGCCGATAAACCGTTTCCCAACTCCTTCAATAGATTGTTAGAATTTGTGCAGTGTATTAGTATTTATTATTACTGTAATTTATGACGACCTTACATTGCAAATTGAACGTTGTCATCTTTAACGGCCAGTGCATTTTAATAATAACTATTCTCAAGGCTCACTGGACGCAATCTAGAATTATTTCTTATGATGTCTAATATGGTGAGATATCAAAAGATACTGCGTATGTCAAAGGACATTTGACGCATGTTATAAGATATTTTGTGCACGTCAAACACGATGGAACAAATCGTTAGTGTGCGTAACTCAATTTTTTGAAAACAGAAATTCTGTGTTAGCAAACGCCCTCTTTAACTAACAATACAAAAAGATTTAACTATAATACAAAAGTATCTTCAGAAAGGTCATACTTTCAGAGTAGAGTAGTGTACTTATCGCATGATGTTTTTAAAAACATTGAACGTAATATAAATTTTATCGTATCAATACGACCTGGAAAAAAAGTCTGAGATTCCAGGTATTTGACCCAAAGCCAATTAAATATACAAATTAAAATATAGTTTACAAAGTTAAACATTCTGAATTGAAATGGAAAACTATTCCTGTTAGATTACCTGCAAATACAACATTTTTAGATTTTGAATCTTTGTCTGCATTATACAGAGGTATAATTCCCATTAAGAAAGAAAAACGCAGCCTTGTGCCTATTTCATTTTATATTTTCTGATTTAAAATTTATTTTTTTAAGCATTCATTTTTCTGTTACAATTACCGATGTGTAATCCTTATGTTATGTAATATATTACAAGAATTTGGCATACCATCAAAATTAATAAGACTAGTGCAAATGACAATGACAGAAACAGAAGCACATGTATGTATTCAAGGACAGATCACTGATGCGTTTATGACAACGCAAGGACTGAAACAAGGTGACGGACTGGCTCCAACACTTTTTAATCTTGTTCTTGAATATGTAATTAGACGGTTGACGGTGAGCAGAAATAACATACTTACAAACAAATCTACCCAATTAGCAGCATACGCAGATGACATAAACATAATGAGCAGAACAAAGACTGCGGCAGAAGAAACCTACGTTCAGTTGAAACAGAGTTCAGAAGTTGTAGGGCTAACAATAAATACAAATAAAACAAAACTACTCATACAAACCAGATCAAATAGACAGGCGCAACAACAACAATTTATAGACGATATAGAATACGTGAATAGATTCACGTATTTAGGAATGGATCTGGTCGAAAATAATGAAGAAGAACCGGAAATAAATAGAAGGCTTATGCTGGCAAACAAAGCCTATTTCGCGATGGGCCACATATTCAAATCGCGAGACGTACACCGGAAAACAAAACTCCGGGTATATAAAACAATAATCCGACCCATAGTAAGTTATGGGTGTGAAACATGGGTTATAACACAGAAATCTACCAATGCATTAGACGTGTTTGAAAGAAAAATATTGCGTAGAATACTGGGTCCAATAAAGGAAAATAACAACTGGCGAATTAGATATAATAACGAAATATACGAACAATACACTGAACCAACACTAGCACAATACACTAGACTGCAGAGATTACGATGGGCAGGGCATGTGGCCCGCATGCATGAGAACAGAATCCCCAGAAAATTACTAAACGCAATAATGCAAGGAAAAAGACCTGTTGGAAGACCAAAAAAGAGATGGGAAGACGAGGTAGATGAGGATGCCAAAAATCTCCTAAAAACGCGTTCATGGAAAAGAACAGCAGTAAATAGAGATGTTTGGAGAGGTTTAATGAAGGAGGCCAAGGCCCGGCTTGGGCTGTAGTGCCATTGGATGGATGAAATCCTTATGTTACTGGTTTATTTGAATAAAAAAAATAAACTTTTTTCAGAAAAATGCTTATTTCCATTTTGCTTTCAAAATATTAGTTCGCAAATAGCTTATCTCCAATTTTATTTGTAACAAAAACAATATTTCATATAAAACCAAAAATAGAACATTCAAATCCTATGTGAGTTGACTAGTAGTTGTAAAAACTAATTTCTTGCCAATCGGAAACAAGTTTATTCATTTAAATTAGTTTTTTCGATATCCTTTAAAATTTTATAAAATGGAGTTACGAACTATGCGAATTACACTGACGAAATATTTCTGTAAACTGTACAGTCTTACACTTTTTAATAAATGGTAAATATGAGTAACAAAGACAACGATACCAAAACAATATCTCGAACTCTCTTGCAGAAGCTCTAGGTCAAGTGTTCCAATGATAATATAGATAAATATTTAAGATCTATAAACATTTTCTATAATCTGTAGATATTTACTTTTTACAGATAATGGCCAGAAATTATTTCATGATATTTGGTCTGTTACCGCGAAAGAAATTCTGTGCATGTCAAAGTGGATATGATGACTGTTGAAAACTTCTTCTGGGGACTGGTTGTTTTAAGGATATAAAGTTTGAGCTGTTTGAGTCATCTAGAGGATAGGAGAGTTTTCATGCCATTCGTTGTGTACATATTTGCCTTTCTAGTACCGTGCTCTTGAATTTATTTAAATAATTTATACAAATAGAAAGCAATAGTGATTTTAACTGCTAGTATCTTATACTGTTACAATGTTTATTTTGTATTGCATGTACATATTTTGCGCATGTCAAAGATGGAGCAACGATTAAAAGTGATCCGTGGACGGTTGTTGATTAGGGAGTGCTTCTCGAGAAAGGGTACGTTTCTATACCACTCATTGGGCGTGTAAATTGCGTTTTGAGTTCGGTCAATTAGTACTATTGAAAATCGAACTCGACTATTAATTTTTTGTATTCTGTTAATCTATATAAACAGGTTTTAATTTCTCAGATAGTTTTTAGGTTTAATTAAAACGCCAAAGTATCATTTCAATTATATTTTAATCATTAAAAACCAGACTATGTAATTTAATCAAAATTGTAACAATAAACAAAAACGATATATAACGAAAGCCGTCACGATACGTAAACTAACTTAAAATAAACGTGGTGAATGTAACCCGGTGGTTTGATGATCAAGTTCGGGATCGTGACTGGAACCAATAGGACCCCAATCGTGCAATCCCTGGGAATTGGCTAGTCGATGTGTCAAACGGTGTGCTATGGAAAATCCTCCGCTACCTTCGAGTTGCGTCAAAACGATAATCACTTGGCGGGTCAAAGGAGGCACTGAATCGACAGTTTTTAATGTTCCCCTGGTGGAAACCACGTTGTAGCTTTCCTAATAAAACAATAATGTTGCATTATGTACAAAACATTTACAGTTATAGTAAAATTTCGCAAGGAAGTGACTAGAAGAAGAAAGAACATACCTGACAATCACATTTGACATGAATCCATTTATTCTCGTGCCTATTTTCGACCATAACGACTAGGCCAGCCCAGCCTTTGGTTAAGTAATACGCTGTCATGCCTTCCCGACCTTCGTGTCGTTGTCCTCGAGCTAAAGTTAGCGATATAATAGCGTCTGCCAAAATATAACTAGGCGGCAGAATGTTTTCGGCAAACAATTTTTTAGAACTGTGGATCGCTAGGACATACCTGCAAATATATTATTTTTGTTAACAAACTTTAATATAAAAAATGTTCAATAAATTTTCTCGCTCGATGAGAGATGGCGCTATTAAGTTCTATGGTACTACTGGTTGGTGAACACGTGTGGAATTTCCTATGTATAGTTGTCAATTCATTTCTATAGTTACATACATTTTTATTTTTCAAAGTTGTAGCACCAAATTGATAAAAATGTTTAAGGACCATTAGGGTTCTTATTAAGCAATGTGAGCCATATTTTGGATGAAGTCTTGTGTTTCAGAAAGCTTTGTGCATAATGGATGTCGAATTCGCTAACAATGGAACAAAAATCATTGGAATGTGAGTTTTCTGCTACGATTAGAGCGTTTGGAAAGAATAAAAAGCGTTTTATCACTGTGGATGAGAATGAGGTCTATCAGATGGGTTCTAGATCAAAATAAAAGGCTGTGAACGCAGTATTTCAATTACGACGTGAGTTAAGGTTCAGAAATCGACCAAGAAAGTGTTAGCATCAATTTAAAAGAAAATAAACTCAGTAATAATTTAAGCTTTTCAACCAGTTAGATAGTTTACAACAATCCCTGTCACAAATCGCGTAAATCAGTGAATTAAAGCACGAATTCTTGCAACATCCACCATTTTCGCCAAATTTATCTCCCTTTCACTTCTTGCTCTTCATACATACATATCTAAACATATCTAAAAATTCATAGTGCCGAGTACCAATGTTTTTAACTCCGAATTCCATCAAGATGTATCGATTTTCTTGAAATTTTCACTGAAGTGGGAAGTATTGTGGAGGCATTAGTTGGATCTTTCGAGTTTCTATGAGCCCGAATGACTAACGGGGTAGAGACACCGAAATAACAGTTATATCGTTCTATTGATAGCGATTCAAAAACAAAAGTTTTGACAAACTTTTCCCTTCCTTTCCCATATCCCATATCAGTTGGCCCACTTATGGAATTTGCAGTTTAAGTCGATTACCATAAACAAATTTTACTCTGCATGTTTTTATAAGTTTTCATATTAATTAATATGACCTTTTTTTATTAATATTTATTAAAAAATTACCCTTATGGTTTTTATTTATTTTCAACAATAAAAAAAATTTCACTAAACCACGGTTATGCATTCACTTATATCACATATGTTGATTTTTTCATAATTACGTTAAATCCAGAGGTAGCTATCGAAAAATGACATCAAAACAATAATATTGTCAGATAATGTCAAATGTATTTTGTAGTATTGTAAAGCTTCTTGTCGTTTGTGGATTGTACTATGGGTTGAGGTAAAGTTTTCGATGAGAAAATTTGTTCAATCATTATTAGATTTTGTAATTCTGGAAAATCCAATTCAAAAATCACGAATATGTTGAAATTGTCACGCTATAGTGTAAGACATATAGTCGGAAGATACAAAACTACAGGTTCAGTCGTCATAAAATCTAGAAATGTACGAAAAAGTAAAATAACCGAAGCAGATCGAAGGGCATTAAGACGCGTTATAGTGAAAAACGACGAGCAAATTATATGAAGTTAAGCGTTTTATGGAGTGACGTTATTGGAAGACACGTTTCTAGATCAACATATCACCGAGAGGCCCACAAATTACGATTTGGTACTTACAAAGTAAGTTTTATCGTTGAAAAAATTAGTACGAATTGTTTTTAACAAATTTCCTTTTGTTTTAGGCTAAGGAAAAACCACTTTTAACATTACAACAAAAGAAACATAGACTAAGATGGTCAAAAGAGCATAAAGATTGAACTCAGTTGCAATGGGATTCATTACAATGCAGTGATGAGTCCAGATTTGAAGTGTGTGTTGGAGACAGTAGGAGTCGCGTCATTCGCACGAAAAATGAATGTTCCATCCCGACTGTCTGAAGAGAAAAGTCAAATTTCCTGTATATGTCATGATCTGTGTCAGCATGTCATCTAAATGTGTTGGAAAGTTACTTTTTAAGGATGGGATTGTAAACACGGACAAATATTTGAATATTTTAGAAGAATCTCTTACTGATTATGGAACACCGCTTAACATCAGCGGAAGATTTTGTCTTCCAACAGGACGGCGCAGGTTGTCAAACATAAAAAAAAGAGTTTAAAATGGATTGAAGACCATGGCATACCACTTCTGTAATGGATTTCTAACAACCCCGACTTGTCCCCGATAGAAACTTGGTGGCGCGAAGTGAAAAAAAAACTTTGAGAAAACATCCTGCTAATTCCATCAACGAATTGAAAAAAATTGCAAGAAATATGGGATTCGTTTACATTAGAATTTTGTCAGAACTTGGTAAAAACTATGTCAAAAAAAATTGTGAATGTCATTAAAAATAACGGGAATGTAACTCAGTGGTAAACTCACATTTTTTTTGTGAGCAACAACTCAAAAATGTTGTTCGACGGATTAAAAATTCTAAAATTTACGCTGAGCTTTTATTTTTGTTCTCTAATATTTAATTTTCTGATCAACCTAACGTTGGGCCAACTGATATGGGAAGGTGGTCGTATATGTCGTTTCAAAGAAAGCTAAAGTAGATGACTAGGTGTTCAAATTCTCTTAAAATGGTCGAAAGCCGAAGAAATTATTTCTAATGACCTACACGTTATGGAAAGCTTTTTTTAATGAAAAGTGCAATCTAATATTTCCAGCCCCCGTATTTATCTAAGCAACAAACAAACAATCAGAGAAAACAACATTAATTTAAAAAACTCTGTTTAACCATAAAAAACCTAGGTCTATAAGATCTAAACTATTTGAAGTACCAATAACCAATTTTATTAAAAATACTAACCAAAATTGACTAGGCTTCTAAAACTCACCAATAAAAATTTCTGGAAAAACTCTTTTAAGATTTTTTAGTAAATAAAAGATATTAAAAATGACAAAAATATATGCAAAATAGTATACCTGGGGTAGGCCGCAACATCTTCTAGACCGGTATGCCAATGGTTGAAGGCCAGAGGAACTACTACATATTCTCCGGCTTCTAACATTTTATTACATCCTACGAATCCTCTTACTTGACGTTTACTATGTTCCACTAAACTGCCTATTGTCGATCCGGCTCTTGCTCTAAAGAGCACTACACATAAATCTAATTGAGATCGTTGAGATTTTTCAGACTTTCTTTGACCCTCCTGAAAATGAAAGTAAATTAATATATATATATATAACATAATATATAAAAGAATAATAATTAGACAAAAAGAATAATTAACTCCATCTTTCCTCACTAGAGGTCTCTAGTAGCATACTCTGGTAATTATTTTAGCTATAATCGCCATAGTAGTCGCAGTCGGTGCGTTTTGATTTGGTTTTTTGGTTTGAGTCTTCTTACAAACTCTCTCTGATGATGGGTAGACCCAGAAACACGTGTTATAGAATGGTAAGAGACTCAAATTAAATTGAAACGCATCCGTCTTCATATATTTAAAAGAATAATAGTTAACATATTTCAGCGAGAAATGACAAGTTCACGCGTATAACAAAACCACGCTTACCAAAGACCAGCAATAAAAGACAGATATAAGTAACCACAGTAAATTTGTTTCTCTTAATTATGCAACCAATAATACACATATACACATATAATACACAATCCCTCCAGAATACTGACAGAGAATGTAGCGTAGAAGTAATTTTAAACTGTTTGTCCTCGTTTTAGTGTAGTGTTTGTACAATTTATGTTATTTTTTATGTTTCCACATTCTACGCTTGCCGGATAGTTCACATTTTGACGAAATGCCCCTGAAGATGCTATTTTAAGCGAAAGTACTTGGGCTAGATTTAATTAACTTGTGCTCGATAATAGCCTTATTTTCAAAGTTAATACACAATCCTTACCTGAAATAAAGTAAAATCCACTTCCGTAGGCTCTAAAATAGTTAGAAATATACACGATAAATGTTGTTGGCTAGCTAAAGGTGGCAGTATACCAGTTAACCTAATCTCGTTCCATCCGTTTCTAACTTTACAAATATCTATGCAGTCGAAATATTTCAATACATCCGTAAAAGCAATCCAGAACGTGCCATCTTGGCATTCTTCCGGCATCAGTTCTGCTCTCAATTCGGCAGTCCACATGGGGCATACTTCGGACCAGTCGCCTTTCCATACAAAGTGTCCTAAAAATATTGTAAATTTAAATTATATATATGATGATTTTCCGTTTTCCTTCAAGAAAACGAAAATATATAAAATGCAACAAAAAAAAGACTATTGCTCCAAATTCAACAGAGTTCTTATTTGGACACAAGAGAACCTATGTACTAAGTTTCAATACTCTTAAGAATGTTACGTCAAGAAAACGAAATGCTATATAAATACCAGAATAAGAACATTGACCCAAAATTCAATAGGATTCTTCCTTACATCACTATGTACCTCATTCCACGCCTACAGGACTTTTTTTAAAATCAATATATTGTAGTCAATTTATTTCTATAAGATTTTCGTCAAATGGTGCACTAGTTAAGAAATATTCAAAAATCAAAATTTCAACAGAACATTGTCATCATTAACCTATCATTTATTACTCACCCCAAGGATTTCTAAGTTTGAGTAATCTAATACCATTGATATCCCTTACATCTAAAAGTGAATAAGCATGTCTAGGTCGCAATCCCTTCGAATGGTACTCAACTTCGTCCACTTTCATATTGCCGCCTCCACACGAAGCTCCCATTAAGAACATCGCTTGCCTCGACGAAAGTAACCTACAAAGATATTTATTTAAAGTTTCTTTGAACCTACATAAAAATAAAAAGTAACATTGCATCTTTCAGAATAAATAGCGCATCTGTCCGTCAGAAGATTAGTGCGGCCACAACTACAACAGATGCAGAAAAACTAATAACGAACTCGAATTCAACTTCCTATTACAAAAATGCTACGCAACAACTAAAAATTCTACAAATAAACCAACCTTTTAATGAGGATAAGTAACTATCATATAGAGTTATCATTATTTATTTAAAAATTAATTTTATTTATTAAGAATTGAGATGTGTTTTCTTACTTGCTTTGTGTATTAAAATAAATACTAAAATTGTAGTTTCGCATTGAATTATTAAATATTAAAACCTCTGCTTCCGGTTACTTGTCAAAAAGTTGACGTTTTTAAATTCTCCAATTGTTTTAAGTCAACGTCAACTTTTTTTGACAATTAACCAGTGGCAAACATTTGAATATTTATTAATTAAATGCGAAACTACAACTATTTTAATATACCTATACTAATTTTGTTTGGATGTAAGATTATTTTGACGAATAAATTAAATAAATACTAAAATTCTAGTTTGGCATTTAATTAATAAAAATTTTAACGTTCGCCTTTGGATATTTGACAAAAAAATTGACATTTGTCAATTCTCTAGTTGTTTTTAGTTTGCAAAACCGTTTATAGCTCAATATTTAGTTTCTGTTTCTGCTCAGTTTAGTCAATTCTCTAGTTATTATTAGTTTGTAAATGAGTTTATAACCTGAATATTTAGTTTCTGTTTCTGCTGAGTTTAGTCGTTGTTGTTGTTTTTAGTTAGTTGTTCTTAGTTAATATTTAGTTTAATTATTATTTAACGAGACGTTTTAATTTTTATAAAGGCAGAATGGTACGTACTGTAGCCGACAAAGTAGCAGCTGTGTTAATAATTGGTGAATGTGGAAATAATTTCCATGCAGCGGAACGTCCTAATGAGAGGTACCCCGATCGCCCCGTCTTTTTCAAGACAAGGTACAATTATACCGAGGGTCCGGCGCAAGTTAAGGTGTTTTAACCCTTAATTATCACCCGAGGCGACAAAACGAGATATCACTTGCCATAAGGTCCCATTTAAAATTATCTGTCACAGTGGTGCTGTAACGTCATCTGTCACTATTACGTCGCCTGTTATGGACTAGTTGAGAAGCATACGTCTGTTTATTACCTCCCTCCAAATTTCACTATTATAACAATAACCGTTCAAAATATACAAGGGGGAACAGACTTTTGACTAGCACTGTATATTGTAGTATTCATTTACATGTGAGTCATGATGGTTCAAATGACTCAATAAAAATGTCCCATTGGCTTGTAGTCTATATCTCAATAAATATGATCAATCAAGTCTCTTTTACATTTGTCCTATCTGATGTTCTCGTTGTATATTTTATATTAAGACAAGACCGATCCTACAACTGAATGAATGAGAGTCAACGCCGTTAAACCATTGAGCCTTAAGTTCACTATTTTTGATCAACTCATGAAAAATACCACCGCGAAATAAATACTACAGAAATATATCAATCACCTTCCTATTTAAACAAAATTATGAATAGTAAAATAATACATACTGTGCCCAAATGAGATCAACATCAAGTTCTTCCTCTGCCGGCGCTGGAATAGATGATGCTTGCAACGGTATACTTTCACAAGGCGCCCCCGTCAACGTTGCCAAGCCTTCGATGGCTCTACCAGAAACTAAAGCTTCATAACAACCGTGTATTTTCGCTACAGCTTTTTCTATTAACGGAACCCATAGTTGTTTTCTCTTAGCCTGAAATTAAATAAGTATATTTTTCGAAACCATTTTCTATCGTAACTCTATAATATGCTTTCTCAAGATCAATGACAGTTTGTTTCTTTACTCCTATAGTTTTCCATCAAATTCATTAGAATGAAAATTGCATATGTTGTTTACTCAATTTCATGTTCCAGTACATGTTTTCTACTATTTTTGCCCTGACTAGACTCTTTAGCATTCACCACTTGATTTTTTGTGGTAGTCTCCGATATTTTGGTTTACTTTTGCATTTTACTTCGATGTCCACCACAAACTACTTATTTCGACGGCTCACAATCTCGCTAACTGTTATCTTACATTCCTATATTTACGCAGATCTTCTTTTCTTAGTACGATAATAAGTATGGTTGTTAAAATATGGAAAACATTTAAAAAAATGTTCTAAAATATCCGCGATTAATTTTGTAAGATCTTGTCACATTCTTGAGATAATCGTGTCAGTTATTTTAATAATTTAACTATAGAATAATAAACTTTTTTTAGTTTATAAATAAGGCGCTAAAGACCAAATCCACGTTTAACCTAAGTTGGTCCTTCGAGCCGGATTCTTTTTCTTTAAATGTTATGCCATCCTAGAACACTGATAACTAAGTACTCACTCTCCCTTCGTTGCCCTCGCAACTTTTGATAATGTCGTCATCTAAATCAGTCGCAAACAAAAAGTATGTGGCTGCTGTAAAGGTCCTGCTTAACATTTTATCCTACCTAAATGGAAAGAATAGATAGCTTAGAACCTTAAACCGGGATGAGACATAAACATTTACAAGTTAAACACTTAAGCGTACCTAAAATGTAGTTTTTTGTTAACTGAGTCAATACGTTAACGACTGAATTTGTCACTTTATGGCTTAAATACCTTCATACGGCGAATCGTCCATGTACGACTCTAATTCGCATTAACAAAACGTCTAAAAATAATATTTTCACTAGATCTTTTTAACAAGTTGGATTTATACTTTTATGATTTTAAACGAGAATAAAGAAATTTCTTACCTGAGAATAAAATAAATGCCCCCTTTTGTCACAAGGAAAATAATCATCTACTAGAACAGTAATCCAGTGCCCGTCCTTACACAATCTAACTTGATAAACGCCTTGTGCACAAAACTCTCTCGTTATCAAGACAGCTCTCACCAAATCTTCCCTCTCGGCTAATACAGCGAGAGCGCTCAACAACCAACAGTTACCCAAAACGCCTAAAACCATTAAATCAAAACAGGTTTAAATATATATCCGCTATGCTATTCGTTATGTTACTATTTAGTGTTTTCCCAAAAGCACAAATAATGATTTTACATCAGTTCAATGTGACGTCATTCTGTCAATTGTTTTTGAGGTTAGGTCTCAACAAAACGTGATACAATTTACAAAATGATTTTCATATTAATTCCATGTCCGAATCATTTCAAATTAAATATCAGATTATTTTTATTGTCTAAAAGAGTATTGCAAAATAAAAGTTGATGAATTAATTCGCCAGAAATTTAAGAACAAAGTTAAAAGAAAATTAATTTTCTATATGGCTTTCGAATGAAGTCTGACTAATATATTGCCATAAGACGTATCAAAAAATACGTTCGGAAAATTAAAAGTTATGAATATAACGTCAAAAATTTGACATATCTAGAATCAAGACTTATAGCCAACTTCACAAATTACATCTTGACGTCACACTTTATGAGACATGACATGTAAATAACGAAATATACAAGAATATCGCTATGCATGAATTACTGTACATAAAGAAAGTATTAGAAACCATTTTATTTATTTAGCACAGTGTGAGAATATAATAAATATAAACACTTCTGTAAATAGGGATTAACTTCTTACCTTGAGAGATATCCGAGGGTTGTGGTTTCCGAAAAACAGCCCACGGCAAGTCCTTTTCGTCATCTACGACAATATCTCGCAATCGTTTCCATTTCACTGCATGGGAATCTTTAATTTCAGATGGATTGTAATATAGGCTACTTGGCATAGGTGGAAATTCGTCGTCTAAATAACTTTGTTTCTTCAACTTGCAATATTTGACTATGTAGTTCCAATGTTTGTTACTCATTTCTTGCTGTGTCAATCGAGGTGGTTCTTTCGGATTACTAGAATTTATATCTTTTCTCATCTTTTGACACATATCACAGATTATATAAGATTTAGTATTTTCAAATGTACAAACCAGACATTGCCATGGTTCATAAGGCCCTGAAGTGATTGAATCTGAAAATAATTATTTTTTCGTGAAATACTGATCAAAGAAAATATTAAAAGAGATTTATCGGTGATCCCCCCTAGCAGTGTCCATTAAAATGAGGAGTAAACGAATGAGGAAGCGAATGACAAAATTGAGAATCAGGTAGACAAGACGGAAGATGCGTATGAAAGAAAGAGGAAAAGAAACAGAGGAGACGAATGAGGAAGCCAATAAGGGGAAGAATAAAAATAACAGGAAGCAGGCAGATGGGAGGAGGATACGGTAGAAGACAATAATCGATATTGGTAAAAACTAAAAGAGATTTTAAAATAAAAAAATTACCTTATCAGTGATTCCCCCAAACAGAATGAAGAATTAAATACAGAAGCAAATGAGTTTAAGGGGAAACAGTCAGATGAGAATAATGTAGCTAAAAAAACAAGGAGACAGTGTTGGGGGAAATAGACAGAAGGAAAGAAGAAAAAGTTTAGTCCAAGAAGTTTCAAAGTTCCCAAGTAGTTTCAAAGCAAAGCGGAGAGATAAAAAGGAGAAGCTAATAAGGAGACAAATGACAATATTGAGAAGCAGGCAGTTGAAAAGAACATAGGTATGACAGGAATGCCGAAAATAATGAGAGGAGGCGAATGCGGAGAAAAAAATAGGAAGCAGGCAGGTGGGAGGGAAATAAGGTAGAAGGCAATAATTGATATTGGTTAAAAAAATTACCTTGTTACCAGTGATTACCCAGAGTCTAACTTTTGATTCCCCAAAGAGTTTCAAAGCCAAGGAAGAAAAGTAGAAAATAAATAGATGAGACGAATAAGTAGAAGAATAAAACCTTACCAATGATTTTCCCAAACGAAAAAGAGGAGACAAAAGAAACGAAGGAAATATGTGAGAAGGAGCGGTATGAAGCAGCAAATAAGGAAGTAAATGGGGATAATAAGAGGAATCAGACAAGTAGGCACGAATATATACATATAGAATATATATTGAGGGGAAAGAGAAAAAGAAGTCGAGGGGTGGTGGATTTGGAGGAAGAGTAAAAAGAACGAGGTAAATAATTCTCATGGTTTGAGAACACAAAACGAGATTTTAGAATAGGAAAAAATGAATTAAAAACCTTACCCGTGATTGTGACAAGTCTCAATTCAAATAAGGAAGAAAGGGAGAATAGGCAAGTAAATGAACTGATGACCAAGGGAAATAATAAGAAGCAGGTATAGGTAAGTAGAGAATTCTACTTACCTATATCTAAGGGAATTCGCACGTAATGGGAAAGTAGAAAATAAGTAAAGGATGCGGTTGATGGAGGAGGATAAAACGGAGAAAATAATAATTGACATTGGCCAAAAACACCCGAAATAAGTAAGCAATCATTCTTCCAAGCTATTTCAATGCCAAAGAGTAGGAGTAGGAGGAAAAAAGGTGTAGATGAAGCGCTTAAGGGGACGGATGAGAAAGTTAATGAGGTAGGTGAAGAGAAATATGGAGATGAAGCCAAAGCAGAAAGTAAAGCGGACAAAAGGGCGGTGAATGAGTAAAATGAGAAAGAGTAGGTGGATGTGAGTGGAAGAACAGAGTAGAGGGAAGAGAGAAGGAGGTAGCAAGAGAAGCTTACAATATAAGAAAACTTTGTTTTATAACTTAAAACACTATTAACAGAGTTGTTACATACTTACTGTGATCCAAATCTGTAAGTAAATTAACCTTGCTCCTTTCCGATTTAACGACAGTTATACTTCGAGTACTTTGCACCTTCGAACTGGTCGCACCCCTAACGACGTTCCTCTTAGATCTATCGTGGCGAGGAGATGGACTCCTAGAAGACATAGTTTCTGGATATTTGTCGGTCTTGCACGCTTTGCACACTAAGTTGTTAAGCGAGTTTTTCAAGGTGCATTTCGAGCAAGACCAGAACTCTCCCTTTTTCAAGGTCATGTCGTGGTTCAGGGTGATGGATCTGAGCTTGGAGCCGTAGCAGGCTTCGCAAACGAGAGATCGCTCACTGTTGACCAAGGTGCATTTTTTGCAAGTCCATTTTTGATCTTCTGTGGGACTATCGCCATCTGAAATTATTGAGAAACTTTTAACACCCGAAGAAGACACCGTGTGGTAAAACAGGTCATGTATACAGTGGAAGTTTTATTGAAATATTGTTAAATTTGATTGTTTATATTTTAAGTAAAATAAAAAGCAAAATACAAACACTATCGATTAGGAACAAAATGTTTTTTAATCTATCGAAATAAAAGTAGAGACATTGAGAAAAGAGGTGTATTTTTCATTAAAAATTCATTTCTAATAGATTATCTAGAACATGTATATTTATAGAACAACTTATATATCACGCATATAGGACATCACTTGACACTCGGTAATAACCGAGTGTCTTATAATTTTGCATAGCATAATTATATAGTTATATAAAACTATACAATATCAGAGTTTTCTTATAATAAAATATAATATTAATTTACCTGGTAAAATTTGAAAATCGTCTTCTAGTTCTTGATCAAGAGTAGCAATTGGTACTTGAATCTTTGAGTCACTCCAATTAATTGGTCTAAAAATAAAAATGATTAAAAATATTTTGTCATATTATGACAAACTAACAAATTTTGACATTAATCTAACTTTTGACAGATGCGTTACCTGACAACGAATGGTTGTCGATTGACATATGTCTTTAAACGTTTGACGTATGTCAAAATTTCAAGCAAAAACACCAACTAATTTTGGTGATAATCCTCTATCTTTTCTCCTTCGTAAGGATGTAGTGGCGTCATGTAATTAGTTTGACTATTTATGTCCAATTATCTCTCTCCTGTGCGCGTTGTTTTGATTTGGAGAATGAGTAATCAGTCATGTTCTTTATTTGATCCGGTCATCGTACTGGAGATCTTCCTCTGGATTTTTATCCGCTAAGTTACCTTCAACTATCATTCGCTCCATGCCTTCTCTTCTTCTGCTTGGTTGCTTCTGATTCTATTGATGATCACCACTTTGGTTTCCTGCATATTTATTTTCAAACCATGTTCCGTACTCACCGTTACTAGCCTATTCATAATTTGTTTCAGGTCTTCTGGTGATGACGCCAATATAACAGTGTCATCAGAACTTGACGAATATGTTCACTATATATATTCAATAGAATAGGGGATATTATGCATTCCTGTAGAACTCCAGATTTTAATTTGAAGTTTTTTTCGAAACCACGTTATTAACTCTTACATTAATAGTATTATTTACATATAGTTTTTGTAATAAATAGATTAGATGTTCTGGCGTACCCATTTCTCTAAGTATATGCCACATTTTATCCCATTTTACGGTATCGAAGGCCTTGGAATAGTCAACAAAGCCTAAATATGTTTCTACCTGGGACTAATCCGCATTTTTCTTGGGGAATTTGTGGTAAGAGAATTGATTTTAGTCTTTCATTTGATGATGGTTAGAAGTAGTTTGTTCGCGTGTGATATCAATGCTACTGTACGGTAATTACTGCAATCTGTCGGTGAACCTTTTTTATATATGGGAATAAACGTGAGTTTACCCCAGTTATTTGGCCAATTTCAGGTATTCCGGATCTCATTGCAAATTCTAAGCATTACTTCCATCTATAATTCTCCCATTTCTTTGATTGTTTCAGCTGTTATTTCATCTTCTCCTTCTGCTTTTCTTTTTGCTGATTTTAGCTTTTTAATTGCCGCCTTAATTTCTGATTTCAATATTTGAGGTTCTTTTTCATAACATCTTTTCTCTGTATTATTGTTTGGATCGTTGTTAGAGAATAAGTATTTCGCAATATTGTTTTTGCACCCCTGCGATACCGTCTGAATTTTTTATGGTATTTATTATCTTTATTCTCTAGATTCTTGGCGGTCAGCATGTTCCTCCAGTTGTACACATATGTTTTTAATATAATTATTTTTGTCCCTTCTGCAGAAGTGTTTTATAGTTGAATTTATGGTGCATACCTCTATTTCTTTTGGTTTTGAATTTGATGTGCCCTTTCTAAGTTTTCGTCTTTCTTCTACGAGATTGAGTCTTTTCAGTCATCCAATGTTTTTTCCTAGCTGTTTTGTCTTTGGGATTAGTATTGTAGATGGCTTCAGTGATCAATTTCTTTGTGTATTCCCTTTGTGTATTTTAGTGATATATGGTTCCATATCTACTCGGCGGAGATAAAAGAAAAGTCAAAGCATTGGAGAAAAAACTTTTTGACTCGCAAAAATTTTTTTTCATCAAAGCACTCACTTACAAGACAGTCTGAATTTATAAAACTTGGGATAAAATATTTGACCTTCCACTGTATTGGCCAGATTTAGCCTCGCCTGATCAATTTCTGTTCCTAAATTTAAAAGAATGACGGAGATGGCCAATTTGAAACAAACGACAATTCACATTATATTGAGGATTCACGTTTCGTGTGGAATAAAAAAGTTGGAATAGTGTCTTATCAAGTATATTGCACGAAAAGGAGACCATGATAAAAATTAATTAATTAAAAGATTCTTTTGGGAATAACAGCTAACAGCTTTTGGAGGCTTAACCTGACCCGAACCCCACAATTACATTTAGGAAAACTCAAAACGATTACACGAAATTACTTTCATTTCCGAAATATTAAATTAAATCCCAAAACGTTGAACTTAGTAGCCTTCACTTTAACCAAAAAGCACAAACACAAATTCGCGTTGAAGAACCGTAACTTAGGCAACCAACTTTGTCGCAACATACAGGGTGGTGAATCGTCAAACGGGCCATAGGAAACTCAATGAGAAATTGTAAATTGTTCAATTCCTGCTTCCCTAATTATTTTACACCAAAAGTCATGGGAAACTATTTGTAGAGGACTCAAATATGTATCGAAACCAATTGTTAAAATTGTTCTATGACTTAAACGTATTCCAAAATTTTGCTAAAATATAATACATTTTTCAGGCCACCCCTAAAAGTCAGCCAGACGCCGTGAAAAGAATGTGTATTACGTGTTGCGTTTTGTCATATTGACGTTTCTAATATTTGACAATATTTAAATCAACTATATTATATTTATCTATGATTTAAATGGCCAAATTTTGTGATTTATTATTTAAAAAGAAAAATTAAGTTATTATTAGGAATAAAGATCACAGTAACAGTATATTGGAATTCATTGAATTGTTGTATAAACTTAAACTTAACATGGAATTTTTATTATTGAGTTAATGCCTCGACAACTAAGATCATTGGCATCTAACATGGAATTAAATTTTACTGTATTAGAATATCTTACGTTAAATAAAGATCCGGTAGTGACAGGAAAAGGTTCGCGCTATTGCCTGAATACAACATTATGCGATTTTTCGTCAACTGAGTACATTTCATTATATTGATCGATTTGTAAACAATATAATTTATTGTTCACAAAGTAATATTTTTTGTTCAGTAGTAGTAGTATTTAGTAAAATTCGTTGTTTATAATTTAATCACAAAATAAAAAAAATTGCCAATTCAAAATGTCAAACATCTGCCATCAATATGATAAAACACACACGTTATAATATATTCTTGTATTACGTGTGGCCTAACTTTTAGGGGTGGTCTGAAAAATCTATTATATTTTTGCAAAATTTTGAAGTACATTTGATTCGTAGAACGGTTTTAACAATTGTTTTAATTCAGAATTTTAGTCCTCTACAAATAGTTTTTTATGACTTTTGATCTAAAATAATTAGGGAAGCAGCAGTTCAACAATTTAAAATTTACCATTGAGTTTCCTATGACCCGTTTGACGATTCACCACCCGGTATATAAAATATATATTAAGAGATCGTAAAACACACAAACGAAAAAGTAAATATGGCAATTAAGCGGATTAGAGATGGGAAATCACCAGGACCTAATGAGGTGCGTGGTGAAATTTTAAAGCTATTAGAGGCATACCAAACCACATCTCTTACGAATCTATTTAACAAGAACGAGACTGGTTACATACCAAAAAACTGGCTACTATCAGTATTCATTCCACAACCTAAAAAAGCCAACGCTAGAAAATGTGACATATATTATATTTGATTAGTCATATTAGACATATTTGATTAGTCATGTACTTAAAGTACTCCTTACTATCATTCACTCGCGCATATACACCAAATTAGAAAGAACATCTGAGTGAAGTTTAATTTGGATTCAGAACAGGATTCGGAAGCAGTGAAGCACTTTTTGGTTAGTAAGTTCTAATACAGAGAGCCATAGATGTCAACTGCGATGTGTATGCATGTTTCATTGATTTCGAGAAGGCATTTGATAAAGTCCCACATGGGAAATTAATCGATATCGTAAAAACATCAGGACTCCAACAAAAAGCAACAGTGCGATTAGAAAATGAACTGTCAGAGATCTTCACAGATGAAAAAGGAGTTAGACAGGGTTGCATATCGTTGCATATGTCATTATTTAACATATACTCTGAAAACATCTTTAGAGAGGTCTTAGACTAATCAGAAGATGAGATTGGAGAAACATATAACAAATACGGCCTAAAACGAAATTGCAAGAAGACAAAAATAATGATAATTAGTAAGAACACCAACATAAATGCCCAAATTACAATAGGCGATACACTATTACAAAGAGTGGAAGAAATATGCTATTTGAGCTGCAATATTTCCCAAGGATACTTGGGATTACAGCTACGAAATAAAAACTCGTATTGAAAAAGCCGTTCTTCGTTCTACGTAGAACGTAGAAATAAGACGTAGAACGAAGATTGTGGATATTGTGGACAAAATTACAAAAATGAAATGGCGCTGGGCAGGTCACGTAGCCCGATATAATGACAACAGGTGGACACGGATAATTCTAGAATGGAGACCAAGGACGACAACAAGAAGCATGGGAGGACCTCAAAAAAGAAGGGTAGATGACATAAGAGCAGTGGCAGGCAAACACTGGATTAGATTGCGCAAGATAGAGAAAGATGGAAGCAATTGGGAGAGACCTACATTCAGGAGTGGATGGAAAATGGTTGACAAAGAAGATTGAAAAGCCAGAAGTTCTTTCAACAGCCAAAGGAAGATTATCTGCAACTTATCTTTAAGTATCAATATACCCATAAGAATTCTTAGATGTTATGTGTTTAGTGTCCTCCTCTATGGAGTAGAAAGCTGGAGCCTTACAGAAGATACCATAAAACATTTAGAGGCATTTGAAATGTGGTGCTACCGACGTATGTTGAGGGTCTCGTATATACACCACACAAGTGACATAACTATTCTCCAGAGGTTAAGAAAAGACAAAGAAATTATTAACACCGTAAAGATCAGTAAATTGGCTTACTTCGGCCACATCATGCGTAATAATAACTACCGACTTCTACAGTTGATTCTACAAAACAAGATTGAGAGAAAGAGAGTCCCTGGACGTAGACGTATATTCTGGCTGGCCAATCTTAGGAAATGGACTGGTCTAACGTCAACTGATCTATTTCGAGCTGCTGTGAATAGAATAAAATGGATCAATGTGGTCGCTAACATCTCGAGAAGATAGTCACATTTAGAAGAAAACACACAATGCTTTCTCTCTCAAATACTGACTACAATGACTGTGCATACAGTGATTCCCAGTATCTAGAGTCTGTGACCTGTGAAACTATTCATTAATACTAATAAGAAACTTACTTGTTTGAAGAACAGTTCATGGTGATATTCCTATCTTCCGTGACAGTTACAGTACAAGGCTGACTCAACGATGGCGGCGTTCTCCAACTTTTACAAATATCACATTTCTCGACGCTAAAACCGTTGTATGCGAATGAACACTGCCTGCAAGTCCACCGTCTTTCGTTCAACACCCAGCTAGACTTCGTTCCTGTAGATTCCCTCATCAGTTGCATACTAAAAAATTATGAATGAGGTACGAAATTTTGAATACACTGTATAAGTAAATACTTACATTTTGTTGTGCTTGTCGGCATCAAATTCGATATTTCTTTTCTGGGCATTAATAATGGTCTGATTTTCATAAAAATGTTTATCCTTGTCCGGTTCTGAGATTCCTATATAAGTGAAAAGAGTCCCTTTATCCTTAGAAGTAGTATCACAAATGTTCCTGCTGTTATAATTCTTGCCGCAAACGCTATTCAGATTATCAAATAAGGAGGAATGTTGAGAAGATTGAATATCAGTCATTGAGGTGCTGACCTTCGGAAAGCTACCCAGTGTAGCTTCGAGACTTCTATTTAAGTTAGGCATGTGTAGATTGTGAGCTGATGGCAGTTCAGAGAGAGATCGTCGGTAGTACGGTTTATGACTTTCTGAATGAAGAGATTCGTTATCCGCCCAATTATTTACCTGAAAGAAGAAACAAGTTAAAAACCGAATAAAATAACTAATTTGGCATTAGGTATGTATACAAGGGCGACGCGAAAAGTTCTCAACTAGTATTAGCGTGGTACTATGAGACATCTGGTACTGTATAATAGAGGTTCTCAAAGTGGGTGACGCGGCACCCTAGGGTGCCTCAAGCATTTGCCAAGGGTGACGTGGAACGCCGCTGCGCCACTGTTCAATCGAAACATGTTGACTATATGTACTTGTGTATTCTCGATCCTCCTCCTATATCCTTTATCCTTCGTAAGGATGTGGTGACGTTATGCTATTTGACGAATGGTTGCTATCCATTCTTCTCTCTCTTGGGCGCGGTGTTCTGTGTCAGACAGAGAGTAACCGGTAGCGCACTTTATTTGGTTATTTGGTTCTTGGAGTTCTTTTACCATCTACCTTGCCTTCAACCACCAACCTCTCCATGCCATCCATTCGTCTGGTGATGTGTCCAAAGTACCTCAATATATTTTGGTTGATGATTGTGGTATTCTCGATGACGACCGAAAAACAAACAGCCGAATTCGACCAACGGGACTGCTACCTGCATTCAGTCCACAGTTTAATTATTGCAGCCGATAGATGAGTTTTGTAAAAATTAGAGTTAGATTTCAAAGTGGAAGTTTTAAATATCACTGCAGAAGAAAAGTGACGACGTATTAATATAATATACACTGATCTATAAATACTGATGTATAAATATCTAAGCATCACATTATCTAGCTACGGAAAGCTCGAAACTGAAGTGGAAGATCAAGTGAATAGAGTAAACAGAGCCGCAGGCTGCCTGAATGAAGCAATATGGAGAAACAAAAATATCGGGAAAGAAATGAAATGCAGAATTTGCAAAATAGTCATTAGACCAATAATGACATACGCAGCAGAAACAAGACCTTTCACAGAGAGGACAAAAAAGGATGTTAGAAACAGCAGAGATGAAAACACTTTAAAAAATTGATGATAAGACATGATGGGATAAAGCTAGAAGTACAGATATACGACGTAGATGCAAGGTGGAGAACATCAAGAACTGGGTAAGAAATAGAAGAGTAGAATGGAACGATCATATAAGCCGAATGATAACAAATAGAGTAGTGAAGACGGGAAAAGACAGTTCCCCAATAGGAAGACGATCAGTAGGAAGACCACGAAAACGATATCTTACTGCAGGCACATTGAAATACAGACAGAGTAATGTCTATAAAAAAAGAAGAAGAATATTATGTACTTTTGTTTCTATTTTTGTCATAAAATATGTCTTGCTCTATTACGGTTGGAGTCATCATAATAGAAGTAGTAGAAATGAATTTTCTAAGGAGAGCGTGTGATGTATCCAAAAAAGATCATATCAGGAATGAAGATATTAGGAGAACAAATACTGTATATTCCAGTGTAGACAGAATTGAAATGAGACAAATAGTGTAGTATGTGTACGTGAAGCGAATTAATGAAGATAGATGGCCAAAGAAAGCTTTAAATTACATACCACAACAAAGAAGTAGAAGGGAAGGCCTTCGGTTGCCTGGGAATAGGCAAATAGAAGGAAATAAAAGGATGAAAATAGAAGAATAACTTCTTATGTGTAAAGAGCTGAAAAGTTATGCCACTGGCGAAGAAATTTTCAAGGCCATCCACGACTATAAAAAAAATTATGTAGAGTGTAGTAAATGTGTGGATATTTGAAGTAGGGATGTGTAGTTCACCATCGAAATAGTTCAAATGAATGATTCTTTCAACTGAACTAATTGAACTAGTTTCATTAATTTTCATAGAACTAGTTCAGTGCAAACGATTTGCATTATAAATTGTGTCTCAACTTCTAAAGAAGAAAAAATGAATGAATGAGATCATATATTTCGAATAGAACGGGTCGAATTATAGTCCCTGATAAAATCAAGGGGAGTAGAAGCAGGCTATTTCTTAAGATGTATAACTGCTTTCTCTTCATCTTCCCCTGCTTGTCCTACTAGCGAAACTGATTTTGATGTTGAAGGTTGAGGTTATTGAAATGTATTTTCTGATTTTTCGGGTCCTTTTCCTATGTATCTTTCAACATTGAGATATTTGAGATTGATAGCAGGGTGTTTTATTCTTAAATGTCTTGATAAATTGCCCAGTGAACCACTTGCAATACTAACATCACATGAACAGTAATTACATTTAGCAAATTTTTGATTTTTATCATTTTTCTCGAAATGATTCCATAAAAAACTTCTATCTTCTGTTACTCATCTGTAGGGATTGATTAAGAAAATAAATTATTATAAAGAAAAACGAACTAATCATATAATAATTTAAAACATTTAAACCTAAACATACGATCAAAAGAAATGGTTCCGAATCTGAACTACTTGTACACCGTACGGTTGTGAAAGACTGACTGAAAACCGAAGAAAACGGGCGGCCGGCGCCGAGCTTGTGCGATGATTGAGACGAGACATCTGGCAACCAGTTATGTTAGGGTTGGATTTCGGTCCTACAAATAGTTCTTCACTGAACTAGTTCATTTTTGTGAAATAGTTCTCTTGAACTAGTTCGTCTAAAAGAACTAATAAGCACACCTCTAATTTGCAGTGATGGAGCGGCTGCAAATGGTTGGTAAAATTAGAGGGATGGTGTCTAGAATAAAGGTAGTGACAGAAAATGGCTCCAGCAGTCATTGTCTCTTACATCGCCATTCTTTGGGAACTAAAAAGATATTGCAAGATTAGAAAGACGTATTGGATGGTTCTGTGAAAATAAGCACGCCTTTTAAATATCACCGCTGAAGATACGGGTATGGATCACTTCAATCTTTTGCTCCACACAGAGGTCCGAAGGGAACAATTTTAGGAAGACTATTTGAACTAAAAGATACACTAATTATCATTTACAGAGGAGTCTTTCATCCAAGAATTAAAAGATTACCTTTCAGACATCTTCGAAATAATAAATAAAACCATCACGTCGCCTCAAAGCAAAGGAGAAGAACAATTAGATAAAATCAAAGTCTTGCTAAAAAAATTTCATTTTTCAAATCATGTGTTGGAAAGGGGAACCTCACGATTTTCTCTTGATTACAGGAATTTGTTATAACAAATGAAATCAATCCTTATATAGCGGGATGATGGACCCGTTTTCGTGCTACCCAAAAAATAAACCTGTCGGAATGACAAAAGAAATTTTTTCAAAATCTACTTGAGATCAGCGAAGATGGCAGTTGAAAACTCAAATACCGTTAAGGAAGCCAACAAGAGTTCTAGATGCAGGTATATTCAGAAAATAATATTCTTGGCAAAGTTGCCAGTGAAAAAACTTGTATATGAAAATGAAAACATCAAAACAGTTTCATTCATCACATTCAGTAAAGATATTTGAATATCAAAAGTACTGTATTTTATTGATCTGAAATAAAGTTTATATTGAAATCAAATGAGCCTCAGAATTGTATTCTTTTCAATTTTTGTCGTTTCCCAAATCGTCTCGAAATATTTTTAGCCCTACAAGAGTGTCGCGACTAAAAAAGTTTGAGAGCCACTGCTGTATACTACAGAATTAATAACTGGTTTTAATGACCTGTACTTGGAAATAGGACTGGAATCCTTAAGGGTGCAGAAAAAGGTGTTGAATAATGACAAAGTAAAAGGTATATGTGGAGGAAGAGGTTAGTAGAGTCGGAGAGAAGAAATAAGAGTTGAGATTGCTCAAAATTACTAACAAAAATGTATGTAGGTTAGGTATATATATGATAACTAATATTGGGTAGCAGGTAGTTACTTTTTTAATTTCTCGGTAAACGATAGACTTCAGAGATGCGACCCTCTCCACGTGAGCGATATTTTTTTTTTAATTCATCGGAGCTTTGTTTCAAATTCAAAAGAACCATTTGAAAGATACGAGTTAAAAGTTGGACATTTTTTTAACGATTCCCTTAAAAATGAGCCGTTCATGAAGTGCCAAAGATAAAAGGTTTAAAAGAGAAGCGATTTTACTATTTCAAACATCTACCATAATTGATTATATTGTCTCAGATGTTTTTCCAGCAAGACCTAATCATGACTTCTTCTTCCTTTGCCCTATCCGTTTCGGACGTTGGCTATTAACAAGGCTATTTTGACTTTGTTTACGGCACCTCTGAACAGTTCGGTCGATGTTAGTCCGAACCATTGTCGCAGGTTAATCATGACTACTCCACCAGAAATGCAAGCTTTGATGTGTATTTACCGATACCGTCCAACGAATTAGTAAAGAAATCTATATTATATTTGGCAAAAAAATTATACAACCATCTCCCTTTACAACTTAAATCTACAACTTGTTTCCTTAAGTTCCGTAATTTGACAAAAGCTAAGAGTTTCTTAACGAAAAACGAAGAAATTACAGTACGTTTAGGTAAAACCAACAAAGTATTTTTATATATATTTGGGTATCACACGCAGCAGCTTAAACTTATTCGTAAACTAGTTAGTAAGGTTTTATTATGCAATTTGCAATTAAGTGAAATTTTGCAATGTTTTGTATATTTTATTACGTTTTATTTTGTGATATTGACGATTTATGTAATTTTAGTAAATTTTAATTGTTATTGTTATTTTTTGACTTTTTGTAAGTTTTGTCCATAAAATTGTACAATTTTCAGTGACAATAAAGCACATTTCTATTCTATTCTAATCTAAAATTGAATTCATAAAACAAAATTTATTAAAGTCGCAATATCTCCGGTTTTATCAAACAAAAAATGATGTTATTTTTTCATTTGGAACACCTCGTGGCGCACCTCATTTATTTAACCGAGTAAATTGTTTAAACAATTTAAAATAAAAATTTATTTTTCAAAATTTTACTTTTTTCTTATTATTATTAGTAGAAAATGTTATGAAATGATAAGCAACAGAAATATTTATGTAACAATAAAGTTTACAAAAAACTAAATAAATAAAACTCAAATAAAAAAATAGTTTTTTTTATTTGAAAATCAAATCTATACGAAT